CAGTTGAGATCACGCCATTCCGTTTAGGTATTCTCATTCACGGAGTTGCTCTCGAGAAACCCAGGATATTTGTTATTCTTCCGAAGAAATTGTCGGGATCAGCCATGCCGTACGTTCCTCCTCACATGCGAGCTGGTGCAACAACTTCCGGTTCTGAACCTCCTCCCCGGACGACACCAGCAGCTTCGGGTCGAGGCCATGCAGGCTCGGAGAATAGGTCCGGGAGAGGCCGAGGCAGAGGCCGTGGTCAGGCGGGTGGCCGAGGCAAGAACCTTGTTGCGAACAAAATTGCGATAAAAAATGCTCGCGATGTTGTGCTGGCTACAGTAATCGACGATTATGCCGAGCGAGAATCTTCCGTTATTGAAACACCTTGCAGCAGCAACTGTGCTTGTAACGGGGGCAAAGGTCGCTGCAACCGGATGCTGCTTAGATTCCAGCCGTTCAAAGGGAGGAGCTATTTGCACCTACAGGATCAGAATCTCTCCCTTCTAACGAGAGTTCCAGAAGCTGAATACGACCACATCGAATCACTTGATAACGAGAGCAACCAGCCAACTGGTTCCCCCATCGCTACCCCGACCTCCTTATTCGACGCCATATCTGAGCAGCTTCGCGCGGGGTTGGAAGCGGTATACAGGGAGATGGAGTTTGCCGCCCAGTCGCAGCTCAGGCGGTCCAACTTGGATCGATGCAAGCTCGTCGTGCGGCTGGGGAAGCTGCTGTTCGGGCCGCCGTTTGGATCGCCAGAGTGAGTTGTGGGAGGGAGGGGGAGGTGGGGGGTTGGGAGGGATTGGAGGGTCACCAGTCGCTGGAAATGGGTATGCCAGAGCCTCTCTTCCCCATCTCCTCCCTCCCTGCCCCCTGTATCCCCTCATATGAACCAAACCGAACCTCTTTTCACCCCTCTCAGGTCGCTCTTCCCTAGCCTAACGCCCTTCACGGCAGGAGCTTTGGAGTTCACTCTAAACAGGCGCGCGCAGCGCCTGCCAACCAGGGTGCACCGCTATTCCCCATCTCCTCTTCTCCTGCTCCCCATATCCCCTCATACTCACCTCTCTGAACCTCCCTGCGCCTCTTTTCACCCCTCTCAGGTCGCTCCTCCCCAGCCTACCACCCTTCACAGCGGGGGCGCTGGAGTCGACTCTAAACAGGCGCGTGCAGCGCCTGCCAACCCGGGTACACCGGTCGCTGGAGACTGGCATGCCGGAGCCACTATTCCAGGCTGTGGAGAATATTGTGATGACGGGGGACGGGGTCAGCACATGCACGAGAGAGAAGTACCACATACGGGTATGTGGCATGTGAGGGTATGTGACATGTGAGGGCATGTGACATATGAGGAGAGTTGCCTTACACGTGTATGTGCCTTACGTTTGCCGGTAGAAGGCTGGTAGAGACGGGCTGGCAGCCTAAACGGACAGAACATCTTCGGGGATGTCAAGAGACTTAGTGAAAATGGGCTCGCTGAAGTTAAAGCATGCATTTGTCTCTGTCCTTGTGTCCTTTCGAACTTGTTTTGTCCCCCATGTTGCTGATCCGTTACAGGTACAAGACACAGAGCAGGTTGACACGGAGTACAAGCTGATTTGCAAGCCTGATCCGGATGGCTCAGGGGTTATCCTCGTTAAGGTGTGCTTCATATGTTGTATTTCCTGCGCATACCAATTTTGACGTTCGTATTGTGTTCCTTATTTCGTTGCTCCTTATTACCTGATCTTTTATGCACGCTTGCCAATGTTTTCTATAATTTCATAAAATGGTTCCATTCTAAGCTGCTTCTTGTCTCGTCTTTTCAGCACACATCCGTCCCACTTCTCCACTGCCCCAGGTGAAGCACAACCCGCTGCGCTATGCAGTCATCGATGTGTCTCGCCCCGCCAGAGCCATTGACTTCCGCCTCATGCTTTCCACCGACACCCGCGTCTGTGCTCTCGACGTAAGAATTAAATGGTACATGTGCAGTGCTTGTATCACGTATCCTTTTGTCACATGTTCGTGTGCAATGCGTGTGTGTGTGTGTGGGTATCACATGTCCCTGCAGCTCATGAGCCGGAGCCCATTGACTTCCGCCTCATGCGCTCCACAGACACTCGCCTCTGCGCTCTCGATATACGTCTGTGCGGTATGTGTGCTCTCCCCCTTTTTTCCCCTCCCCCCACACCCAGGAAGCCACTCGATCAGCGTGTGAGCGCATAGCATCGACCGCAATCATCGAGGAGAGTGGAAAAGGCGGCCTGCACTGGCCCATCACACTTGACTTTGACATTGGGATGAAGGACCCGCGCTCACCTTCCCACGCACCAGCAGCACCACCAGCGCCGTCGCATCGCTTCAGAGTGAAGAGTGTGCGGCATCAGAAGCGGCTGCAGGTTCGGTCGGGCGGGCAGGTGTGGAAGCTGTCGCGAGTGAATGGGGTGGAGTATGACCATGGGGGAGGGCGCCTCACGAATGAAGTGGAGTTTTCCCTGCTGGCCTGGCAAGATGCCATGAAGGTGAGTCGCTTCTGAAGTTGCGTGTGCAATGGGATCGGTAACTTACTTTGTCACCTGATCGTTTCCCTTCTTGTTCGTCGTGTGTGTCTCATTGCCATTTCTGCTGCGACTGGCGCAGGCAAAGCAGGAGGCGAAGGACGGTGCGGTCGCTGCCCCTACTCTTTCCTGCCGGACGAGCCTTCCCCTAGAGCCTACTCGGCGGAATCTTGCTTCGACTCTAGCTTGCAGCAGGCAGCACCACAGTGGACTCCAGACAGCATTCTTGCAGATTGCCCCGCCCTCATTAACTGGCTGCAGGAGCACTTGCCATAGGAAACAACAGCTCGAGCATGTAATTAGATAAGTCCCAATAATAGGCATAAGTTTCTCACTGTATGCCTGTAAATTGTACCTTTCACGCAACCAACCAGTGCAAGCTGTACCTCTGTTTTTTCAATCTCTTTCACATTGTACTTTCAAGTTCCTGGTACCGGTATTTGCTAACTGCTTGAATCGGATAAGAATATACGAGGGGCACAAGCTTCATTCTCCAGCCCACCTCGAGATTTCCAGCAATTCCCAGAGAGCAAAATGAGCAGCGACTGACGGCAGCTTGTGGTTACTTCCAACTTTCGTTAGTTCCAAGGGATGGCTGCAGCTGGAAGCCATGGCTCTACGCCCGCGTCCGAGAACCTTTGTTGCTAAACGTCGGATCGCTTTAGCCTCATGGACCTATTTTCTTCCAGCTGAGGCTCCGAAACCCGTGCCTTCGTATGCAGAAGTTGCTGGCGCATTGTTTTCACTATCATGGCACTTTACGAGTCCTATAGGCAGCGATTCAAGCTATCCGCGAGAGGCGGCGGTCCGATACCGCGAACATGGCGCCAGATGGGCGAATTTCGCTGTTTTTCGAGCAGTTTGGTTGCGAAAGTTACCCCTATCTTCACAAACGTCGCCTTGCGATGTTGTCCAAAGCACCATTTCGAGGCACTCTGGAAGACTGGCTTGCTAACAACGATAAATTTGCGGGTAAATGGGATAACGATCCGAAAAATGACGTAATCAGGATGCTTCATAGTAATAGTAACGAGGACCGCAGTGGGGATGCTAATGGAACGACTAATAATAGGGAAAACGACGAGGTTCTTTCGCGAATGAATGACTCCGACGGTGCGGATTGCCAGGATAGCAGGAAACCCAATGAAAGCACGGATACTTCACGAGAGACAAGGTTGCTGAAAGCGATCCGGCAGCCTCTAACAGAAGCTTTAGATCTGGTTCGTGGGATATTGCAGCACCATGCTGTGACAGCAGAGGGTGCTGCTGCTGAGAATGGATTCAAGAGGGTCAAGCTTCTGGTCCGGCTTGGCAAGCTGCTGTTCTCGGCCCATGGAAACAGGTACTGACGTGCTTAGAGATTGCGCTGAACCTGTAGTGATGATGTGTACTGATGGTGTACCAAATGTGTGCTGAAGTTGCTGAGTGTGAATGGGCTACCAATGGTAGATGTACTGAATGCCTACTGCATATGTGTTGAATGGGTGTTGAATGAATGTGTCCTGAGGTTATGCTTGCACTCAATTGCACTAAAAAGCTGTCTGGTCTGATGTTTGCACATGACGCCTGGATCCTGATTCATATGTCCGCCTGATCCCATCTCAATTTTCCATCACTGGCTCTCAAACCGAATCCTGCTCACTTCCTTTCAGAAATCGCCTGACCAAGGTTCCGCCCTTCTCTGCGCAACGACTTGAGGATTACATGAGTGGGAGCGAGCAGCAGTTGAAGCTGCCGATTCACCGGGTGTTTGAGACGCACGTCCCTGACAGCGTATATGGCGGATTGGAGGAGATGGTTATGCAAGATTCAAGTCTGGCTTGCAAGAGCAGTGAGAAATACGACATTCAGGTGGAAATCAGTACTTTATGGTTGTTTTTTTCCGCGGATGAATTTGTTTAGTCAGAGTATAATGTCAATTGATCTGTGTGCTGAATCTTAATGTGACTTCTCACTTTCAGGTGCTTGATACTTGGTCGCGAGTAATCTACAGAGCAAGCTGTATGTATGATGCTGAAGAGAAACGCTTTCTTATAAAAGAGGTGAGATGAACTAATCTGAAACGAGTGTTTTCGAGAGCACAGATGTTAAAGGACATGCATGCAATGTCAGCTGCAGCCAGAAGAAACGTTCTGGCTGCATTCATTTGGGATTTCTCTCTCCTCGGACGCTTAGGAGAAACGTTCAGACACTAAACAAAAATATGAAGCCCATGTCTCGGATTTCAGGTGAAGAAGTTTCCGGTTCGCTATGGAGTTTTTGAAATTGCACGGCCAGGCAAAGCCCTGGATGTGCGTTTAATCCTGACTGTTGAGACACAACTGCCAGCTCTAGATGTAAGTGCCCCATGCATGCATGCATTCACGGGAATGGGTGAAGACGGGGTTTTCAACGTACCGCTTACTCACACTAATCGTGTCCTGCTAATATATATTTATGGCATAAGCTGTCATGTGTATACGTATATACATGATTGTAGTATACTGGAACAAATCATCTATACCCCTTTCTGCCTCCCTTCAGGAGGCACTCGGAGCTGCATTCCTCAAGGTGCTGGAAGCAGCACAGATTGACCCAGAAAGCCCGGGAGGGGTGCGCATTCCAGAATACATGATTGAAGGACAGAAGGGGTTTGATGTTACAGGCATGGATTGTGACTCTAGCAGCAGTGCCTCTCAAGATACCAACAGTGCTCACAGTGCTTACAATGTCAGCAGCGGAGGTTCTGATGTCAGCCGGGGGGGTTCTTTTTCCAACAGCAGATTTTCAGCTTATAGCACTGTAAATTCCAGTGGTGGGAGCAACAGCAGTGAAGAGAGAGGGAGGTTCCAAGTGAGAGCGGTCAGGCATTTAACTGTGAGGAAAGTGCGGGCAGAGGGGAGGATGTGGAAGTTCTCCCGTGTGGATGGGATCGAGTACAAGCAGGGAGGCGGGCGGAAAACAAATATTGTGGAGGTTTACCCTGCAGCATGGCGGCAGCAGCTCAAGGTGAGAAACTCTGGCACCTAGGTGTGGATGGGATTGAGTACAAGCAGGGATGCGGGAGGAGGATGAACATTGTGGAGGTGTGCTCAACAGCATGGCGGTGGCGGCAGCAGCTCAAGGTATGACCCATCTGCTCAGCATGGATGAACAGGTCATGAACAGGTCTTTCCACCCTTGCTATGTTGCATTGCATGGCATTACTCGCAATTTCCCTTACTTGGTCCCCCATACCCCTATCCAGGGGGACGCGCAGGACGAGCCTGCATGTGCCAGGGAGCAAGAGCACCCCACATGGACCTCAGAGCACATCATTACGGAGTGCCCTGCGCTGCTTGCATGGCTAGCTCGAGATTTGCCGTGAACAATGCCCCCATATACTAGTCATCATCACTGTACTAGCCTTGCTAGTGCAGTGCTTCTTTACACTGTTTCAAGTCCGTCGTGTTTGCCTTCCGAAGGCAGACTTTCTCTCAAAAGGTTAAGCTACAACTAGTAACACTGTACAGCTCAACTTCCTTGCTATATGTACATCCAAGGAGGAACAAGCTGGAGCAGCAGATGCATCACCTCAAGAACAACTAGGGAAGCCTCAGTCAGATCCCTGAGCCTGAGCTGGCTTTCTGAGTCTGACTACCGTAAAAAAGGTAGTGGCCCATGTAACAGCTGGCGTGCTCACAATCAGAGAAGGCCCAAATCCCTGAGCTGGCTCTCGTGTTCCGGCAGCAGTGGCGGTGGCAGCCAATCAGGAGGAAGGGACATTCCAGCCAAATCCTCCACGATAAATTCCTGGGGAGGGTATGGTATGGACAGAGAGAAGGGAGGAGGGGGACACGGAGGACGAGGAAGAAATACAGGCGGTGAACTACAGACAAATCCTCCACGATGATTTCCGAGGAGGGTATGGATGGAGGGAAGGGAGGAGGGGGTGAAAACTATAGGCAGTTGCCAAAACGTGCAACATGGAAGTGAGCAAGTACCTGAGTGAGGATCCTCTTAGCGAGGATGTGATTATGCCGCTGCCAAATCCGTTGCACCACCAGGATCGAGACCAGCAAGCAGAAAAACACCCCCACGAAAGCCAGCGCAACCGATAGGAGCAGGATGAAGGAAAGCCATTTCTCTACAGTGCATGTGCTCAAAACCCAGTAGCCACAGCCAGTGCAGGGGTGGAGGCAGCATGAGCAGTCGGGGCCGGTGCCGCTGGGACAGATGTCGCAATATCTACAGCAACCGACACTGGGAGTGGGAAATAAGGAAAGAATGGCTGTACATGATATAAGGGAGATGAAAGAATGGCGTGTTAAATGGAACGCATGCGAGACGATTGCGCCAAGCCCAATGCCAAGCCTATCACAACTTAAGATCAAAACTCAAGATCAAAACTTAAGATCAAAATTGAAGTATTTAATCCCATGCCCGAAGGAGTCCCATCAACAACACTCAGAGAGCACGTACCGCGGGTCGCAGCAGCAGGTTTCCAGGTCCCTCCAGGGAGCAGCCAGATTGCTGCGAATCCGGCGGTCAAAACACGTCATGATGTCACCGAGGAGACCGGCGAAGATAAGGAAGAGCAGCACACCTGGTCGAAGGAAGACAGAAACACGAGGATATTCAACAAGGGAGATACGGCAAATGATTAAGGGAACGGGCGGTCAACACACGTTATGATGGCACCGAGGAGACCGGCAGACACAAGGAAGAGCAGCAGGCCTGGTTAAGACAGGGTACATGAGAGATGGGCAAGGGGTGGGTTTAAGGGTAGTAGTGTGGTAAAGGAAGATGTCACAAACGGGGATAGGATGTCAATGATTTTGGAAACTAAAAAGAGTGATTTAAAAGGGGGTGGGATGTGGGTGGACTCAAGGGATAAGCAGCAGATACACTAACAAGCCATAATCTCACCCCATCCCTACCTGGCAATACACCGAGCTGCCTCTATCGCTCCCTCTCTCACTCCCTCTCTCACTCCCTCTCTCACTCCCTCTCTCACCACAAATGTAGTAGAACGTTGCTGCGCTTTCCACACCCGATGATTTCTGCAAGCCCATGTCGAGATATTTATCCGCCACGTATGCAGCGCAGCCTAAACCAATAATTAACTGGTGGGTTGGCGGAGATTGAGAGGAGGAGAAGGGGGAAACAGGAGAAGGGGGTAACAGGAGAAGGGGGAAACAGGAGAAGGGGGTAAGAGGAGAAGGGGGTAAGAGGAGAAGGGGGTAACAGGAGGAGGGGGTAACAGGGGAAGGGGGTAACAGGAGAAGGGGGTAACAGGAGAAGGGGGTAACAGGAGAAGGGGGTAACAGGAGAAGGGGGGCTTTCCACGCCCGATGATTTCTGCAAGCCCATGTCAGAATAGTTATCCGCCACGTATGCAGTGCCGCCTAAACCGATAATCATCTGGAGGGTTGGCGGAGATTGAGGAGAGGAGAAGGGGGGGAGGGAAAAAGGGGGAGCGGGGGGAAGGGGGGTAATAGGAGGAAGGGAAGAAGCATGAGAGGAGGAGTGGAAGCCTTTTTAACAGAGAAAAGGCTCATACGAGAGCGTGCTGGGGTGTATGTCTGTATCTGAGAGAGAGATGTGAGAGGAAGTGTGCGTGAGAGTGTAAGAGTGTGAGAGAGAGCGAGAGAACGAAAACAGGAAACTCAACTCACCAGCTGCACCAGCAGCGTTACAAACACAACATCCCGCGCAACAAAGAATCTGAACTTGAGGTGGCGGAACTGCGGGTCGGGCGGCGGGCACACGCGCAGCTGGAAGCGCGTCTTGCACGTGGAGCAGTGGCAGAAAGCGAATCCCTCCTCGGTGGCCCGCCATTGGTCCAGACACGAACGGTGCACAAATCGCGCCGAGCCCTTGCATTTGCAAGGGGCAATAAGGTCGTCGGGACCTGGTGGGTGGGAGGAAGGTGTTGGGGGGTTGTGGGGGGGAGGCGCCTTAACACGGCATCCTCGAGAATGGTACCCTAAACCCTGAATCGCTAGTACCCACCGTCACTCTCGAGGCAGATTCGGCACTGCGGTTGCTCCTCGGCCTCCCCCTCCTCTTCATCCCCCATCGCCACTTTCCCTGGAGGAGCCAGGCGCGGAGGAGAGGCATTGCTAGAGAACGGAGGTATCATGGGCGCGATCCTTGATGATGATCCTGACGCATCCCCGCTATAGAGTAGCGGCGTTAATTCGTCAACTTTAACAACGGAATGTTTTTTCCCCGTTTCCATCTTATCCCTCTCGCGGCTCGTCCCCGCTGATCCGTCTATGCTTGTTCCAGAATCGGATTTTTTAGACGGTTCCCTTTGATCTCCCTCGAGTCTTCACGCAAGGTATCGGACGGCTCGGGCAGAAGCCGCTAACGAATGGGCGGCGGAGATCGATCGACGGTTCTATCCTCGGCCTCCCCTCCTTCCCGCGGCCGCAGCAAGCTCACGATTTCCCGCGTCGCGGACTCACGGAAGGGCGTTACAACGCTATTAAGCCCCTAAATCTCGTCACGGACCACTGTAGCTCGTTACAGGACTTGTAAGAATTTCCAGTTATGTGGCCTTACTGCAACCGCTACATACCGAGCAGAACGACGCTGAAAACCTACGACGAACGTGCGGCTCTTGGAAATTCAGAAAAGCTGGATTGCTGGAAATTCAGAAAAGCGAGAGAAATGTAACAAAGCGCACAATTAAGAGCTGCAGTAATGATATTTAAAGCTTCAATATACATTTGAAAGGAGGGGCTCAAAATCCATAGGAAACCATGAGGCACACTCCCTAAACCCAAACCCGAATGACAAATGTATACTCGAGCTTTAATCACAGCAATCCACAAATTTCCCATACATGGTCTTCTACAAATACCCTGACAATGACGAGCATCAGGCCGTTAGGCAGCTTTCAATGGCTCTTGAAGTGCCTTTTGAGCCAACTCAAAAGTCACCTCTTCTACGCATTCTCTCCTACAAATAGTACCCAACAATGGAGAGAATCAGGCCGTTAGGCAGCTTTCAATGGCTCTTCGAATGCCAACTAGCACTGGAAGCGGGGGCTTGAGATGCTGAGGGAGAAAGTGGAAAAACAAGGGTAGACACAAAAAAAACGAGAGCAGATTTGAGCCGAGGGCTATGGGAGCAATACGGGGAAAATGTGAAAACGGTAGCATCTGGTAACTTGAGAAACACCCATCTATGGAGAAGCAGGAAAGGAAACAAAAGATGATGGTAATCAGGGCCTGCGGGACCAGCAACCCCAGCAACAGAGGAATACTTACTCCCACTATCCAGTCTACCACACATATATTTCCTCACCCGGAAGACCACCAGTTGACTGCCGACCGGTCCACCGCCCTTTGACTGTCTGGCATAAATGGATTGCTTACCCGGAAGACAGGCAGAGGCTGGTCGGAGTCAGCAAGGAGCAGCACGAGGGCGAAGTGGCAGCTGGTGGGAGTGACGATCTCCGTTATGACCGCCGCTGCTATGGTGTCTAGCGGCACCAGCTGCCGATGCACCACCTGTGGTTGACTATCCGCCGTTGCTCTGCCGCTGATGCTGCTGCTGCTGCTGCTGCTGCTGCTGCTGCTCCCGCTGTGATTGGACGAGTTGGATGCTTTGAATGCTTTTTGGTGGGTGGTGGTTAGCTGTGCTACCTCGATTTGTACTCCCAGGCCTTCGACAATCATCACCGTCACTGGTGCACAAACATCAGGAAACGAAAGGGGTGGTTGGGGGAAGTGGGGGGAGTGGGGGAACTGAGACGACTCAAAGCACAATCATTAACGTCACTGGTGCATGCATGCACAGAAGGAAAGGAAGAGAGGGGTGGGAGGAGTGAGGTGGGGCAACTGAGTCGACTCTAGGCACGTGATCACAGTCACTGGTGCATGGAAGATGGTGGGGAAACGGGGGGTGGTGGGAGGATTCGTACGCCTCAAGAGGCGTCTCAAGAGTCGTGGCTTCACCTTGATGCTTTACGCCAAGCGAAAAGAGTCGGCGCACGACCAGTCTGAGCACAAGAGCTGCTGTTAGAACACCCAGGGCGGTTCGCACTGCTATTGACGGTTGCTGAGATACCCAACACAAAACGGCGAGGCGGAGAGGGAGGGATGGAGGGATGGAGGGGATAAGTAGAAGGCGGAGGGTAAAGAGAAGACAGTGACAGCTAATGAGGAAGGAGAACGGTTCACTCGTGGCGCCTGTACACGGTTGCTTTCGATAATTCTTAGAAGCAACACCAACATCATGTTTTTGGGGTTGCTGATGATGCAAAAGGCTCTCGAGTGCGTAGTACAAAGGTTTGACGGATCATGACGCTTGTTGCTGGAAGAGAAGAGTTGCTTACCGAGGATGATAAGGCGACGGCGAGGCCTACAATGATAACAACCACTGGCTTCGATAGGATATCAACTGACCATCTGCTTCCCCTTCGGCTGCTGCTGCTGCTGCTACTGCTACTCCTATAGCCGCCGTCGTTATCGCCACTACGACTTGTAGAGACATTGTCCTGCGAGTCGTTATTCGTTCGCGACGCGGCGGTGGTCGGAGGGAGAGGTGAAACGGTGTGCCACTGACAGGAGCCGGAGGGGTCCCTCTCGACCTCGTACACCCACCTGCCGTGAACCTCCGTGCGACCCATGTCAGGCTGGTTCACAGAAAGCTAGATTTCAGGCTTATTGAAACTGACTGTCAGTGTTAGTGGTTACAAATAAGCCGTTTGCGATGATGGCTACCGGTAAGCCTTAACGTGCAATCAAGCAACAGCTTGCATTCGAAAATGATCGTCGCACCCCACGTGCTGCTTATCTCATCGCACGACAGCAAGCCCTTGGGAACTCTTGTGCAGGATGATGAGCGATCGAAAATGACTCATGAGAACGGAGAGAGGGACGGAGTTCAAAGGGGCAACTTACCCTCAAATACCAAGCAGCTTTACTGTAGAAAACACTTACCCTAAAAGGAGCACAATAATGCCAACTTTTGCTATTAATATTGATTCGTTGTCAAAGGAGTCGAAGCTGAACAGGACAACCCATAGGGCACAAGCCCATTGGTTGCGCCAACCTGGAAGTCCTAGGCGCAAGATCCGCCCCGGCAGGTCGCGTCGCTACGTTCCAGGAGCCTCAGAAACTGGCAAACGTATCGCATAGCCTACTACTGCTGGCGCCTTTGTTACTACAGGATGAAGATATGGAACGAACCTCGTGAATGAACAAGGCAGCAGTCCCGTAAGGCCTGCTTACGTGACCTAGTAGTGACGTAGAGCGTAATGTTTGGGATCGAGCTTATGTCTGCTCTGAAATGTAGGCGTCAAGCTAGTTCAGACGTAACGGCGTACTGTACGCTATAGTCGATATAAGGCCTGAGCGACCGCATCTCTTCAGCGAGTTGTCGCATGGCGTCGCACAGTGGTTCCTCGAGCTCCCCGTCGCTAGCAGGAGACTCGTCGCAGGCGTCGCCACGGCCGTCGCTACAACCGTCGCTACAGCCGCGTTCGCGACGGATCGGCGACCTTGCGACGGAGGGCGACGTTCGCAGCCGCGTGAAGTGGCTGAATCCGGAGGCGTACGGCGCGGGCGAGCTGGTCGTCGTCCGTCGCAGCACGGATGAATGGCGATACGCCGAAGTCGTTAGCGTCGCACAGGACGGCGTGCAACTGCGCGTCGGACCCGGATTAACTAAGGACGTCGCGACGCGGCTCCTAGGAACGCACGTCGGGAAGCTTCCAGGCAGCAGCAGCGTCTTCGGCGTCATCCCCGTTACAGGAACGCGCGGCAGGGTCTCGTTATCATTATCTTCACGTTCTTTTGGCATAAACACTACGAGCAACGAAGCAGCAGCATTAGCAGTAGCAGAAGCAGCAGGAGAAGCAGCAGCAGGAGCAGCATCAGGAGCAGGAGCAGGGTCATCAGCAGGAGATTCATCGGCATCATCAACAGTACCAGCAGGAGCAGCAGATGAAGCAGCGGACGCAGCAAGAGCAGCGACGGATGCAGCATCGGCAGCAGCTGTCATCGCGGAGTGGAGACGATCAGCACAGCAGGGTCCGCTGCAAGCCAGCAGCAGCAGGAATGCTGCTGCCAATGGCAAGGGTCCTGTCACTAACGCCGCTGCCAATGCTACCAGCACCACTGCCAGCGCCGCTGCCACCACTACCGCCAGCATCACAGCTGCAACGGCTGCAAGTGCAGCAAGTGCCACTGTCACCACCACTGCTATGGCATGCTCGGCCACGCATAGTGGCATTGCTGCTTCTGTTACCACTGGTACGGAGACTATGCTTCGCACAGGTGCTACCGCTGCTGCCTCTTCTGCCACTGCCTCTTCTGCTGCTGTCTCTGCTGCCTCTGCTCCTTCGTCAGCCTCTGCTCCACTGCCAACAATACCCGGACCTTTCGCCGAGCCTGCCTATGATGCAACCCGGACGTCTTCGCATGCCCGAGCACCCTCCCAAACCCTTACGCCTCCTCACTCCCCAAGGTCGCCTCGTGGTTCAATCCAGCCCACCCCCCAACCCGTCTCCCAGCAACCCGCCTCGCACCAACCGTCCCTCCTGCACCCAAACGCCTCCTCCCAAATTTCCACCCAACCCTCCTCCCAAACCTCTACCATACCCTCCTCCCAGACCTTTCCCCGAACCTCCTCCGAACCCACCTCCCGAGCCTCCGGCCAAACATCCCCCAAGCCTGCTCCGTGCAACGAAGGCAAGGCTCTGCTGCCATGGCAAACTGAGGACTGCCCCATCTGTCTTGAAGCAATGGTCAGAGGCAGGGCGTTATATGCCCCTGAATGCGGCCACCTCTGCCATTTCGACTGCATTCGTGAAAACGTTCGCCACGGGAATCTGTGCTGCCCGCTCTGCCGCTTCCCCCTCCAAGAACGCCCCACGTCGATTTTTTCCCTGCCCGAAACGATGGGTTTTCCGCGAGCCAGTAGTCCCAGGGTGGGGGAGAGAAGGGGGAGTTTGTTTGGGTTGGGGGAAGATGTGGGCGTGCTGGGAGGGGGAGGGGGAAGGGGGCGGGAAGGGGGAGGCGGGGAAGGGGGAGGGGGAGGGGGGTTGGCGCAGGGGGGAGTGTGGGGGCACCAGAGGCGGGATTTGCAGCGAGCGAGGAACCACATTGCGGAGCAGAGGGCTGTGGCGCTGCAACTGGTACGGTAGCTGCGGCTCTCACATGTGGTGGTGGTGCTGCTGCTGCTGCAGTCGCCGCCGCTGCTACTGCTGCTACTGCTGCTGCTGCCGATGGTGTTCTTGGATTCTCAGCAACAGAGAAGTTTGCAGCGTTGGTGTCAGAATCTTGCTTTCTTTGCAACCCACCTCTCTTCCTCTGTATCAGATGGCGGCAGCAGAGGAGCGCATTGCACTGGTCAGAGCAGCTGGCTCTAGGAGAGATTTCACAACGAACTCTCTCTGCCACCCCTTTACAACCCCCTCCCCCACCCACCCACCCCCCTGGGGAACAGATGGCGGCAGCAGAGGAGCGCATTGCGCTGGTCAGGGCAGCGCACGCGGAGGTGCATTCCCACGTGCGCTTAGCGCAGCAGCTTGTACAGAGGATATCCAACAGGCGGTGAGTTGCCTGGCATGTGCATATGACCAGCACAAGGAGACCAACGGTTGGTTCCCACGCCAGGGCCAATAAATTCCAGTTAATGGTAACTGCCATAAGATTCTCAAACAACCCTTGCAGCCCGATTGGCCTCTTCCTGTGCTCTTGTTTCTGTTGCTGCAAAGAAAGACAGTGTCGTGTATCATAGAGGGCCAATAGTGAGGCCTCACCCAGCCGTACACCTATTCTCTTCCCCTTTCTGCCCTCGTTGTTTCGTCCCACAGGCAGCGAGCACTAGGAGACAACCTTCGCTACTCTCTCTCCCCGCCCCTCTCCTCCTCAACCCCTCCACCTCCTCCCATCTCCCTCTCCTCTCTCTCCCTCTCCCCCTCCTCTGATTCCACAATCCCCATCCCCTCCTCTACCTCCACCCTCTCCTCCTCTTCCTCGTCCCTCTCCTCCTCTTCCTCCTCCCCAGCTCTCCGCCGCTCTCTGGCCCTAGCAGTGGCCGCTGCAGCAGCAGATGATTCTTACACCCCCCTGCCATCTCGCCCCATCCGTTCCTCAGTTCCATCCCGTCCTTCCCTAGCCTCTCTCTCTTCCCTCTCGTCCCTCTACCCCCATCGCTACCACCCAGCCACCTCACTTTCCACTACCGCTAATCCTCTCTCTACATCTCTCCATCTCTCTGCTTCTGCCCCTCTCTCTGCCTCGCTGTCTTTTTCCTCCACCACCCATCACCTCGCCTCCACCAGCCGTCCTTCCACGTCTGGCCCTGTTTCCCTCCTTGCAAACTCCAACCTTTCCTCCTCCTCCTCCTCCCCGTCCTCCTCATCCTCTCTGCTCTCTCTGCCTCTTCCCCCACTCTCTCGCTCTTCCTTTCATAGAATCACTCCTGCTCTTCCTGCTACAGCTGCCGGTGCTGCTGCCCCTGCTCCCCCTCCTGCTGCGTCAGCCCATCTCTCTACTCCTATCACCACAACCACCACTACTGAAACCAGTGCTGCTGCTTCTGGTGCTGTCGCTGGCGTCACTTCTTTCAATAGCACCACCACCACCACCATTCCTGCTAGGACTAGTGTTACCACTGCTGCTGCTGCTGCTGCTGTAGCCACCACTGCTACCGCTGCTGCTGCTGCGGCCACCAGTGAACCTACCGATGCTGCTGTAGCCACCACTGCTGCTACTATCACCTCTGCTGCGACCGCTCCTTCCTCTTCCTCCCTCCCCTCCTCTTCCACTGCCCGTTCCCCCCCTCCCGCTTCTGCCGTCGCCCCTGTTTCCCGTTCTTTCCGCTTCTCTGGCCGCTTCTCCTCTCTCTCTTCTTCGCTTGAACAGCCGCAGTCACCCCCTCGCAGCAGCTCAGGCCCACCTGCTGCCCATGCTAGGACAGACAGGACAAACAGCCCCTGTGGAGCTAGTGCCGCCCGTGCAGGGATGAACACTTCGGACAACGGTAGTGGGGCTAATGCAGGCCGTGGCTCGAGCACCCTTGCTGCTGGGAGTAGGCAAGGGCACGCGGGGCAAGGGCACGCGGGGCAAGGGCACGCGGGGCAAGGGCATGCGGGGCAAGGGCACGCGGGGCAAGGGCACGCGGGGCAAGGCGGAGGGAGGAGTGGTGCGTTGAGCAGTGTTGAGGGTGCTGTTGGGGGCAGCACAGGGGGCAGCAGTGTTGGTATCAGAGCTGTTCCTGTGGGTGGCGGTGGTGTGGATGGTGGTGCTGGTGTGGGTGATGGTGGTGTGGGTGGTGGTGGTGGTGTGGGTGGTGGTGGTGTGACTGATGGTGGTGCTACCACTGACAGCAAGGGTATTGGTGGGGAAGGCTGCAGTAGCGTTGGGGGTAGCAGTGGTGGCAACAGTGGCAGTGCTGGTGGCAGTGGCAACGGTGGTGGCAGTGGCAGCGGTGGTGGCAGTGGCAGTGGTGGCTGCAGTGGCGGATTGAGGCAGAGAGGGCAGTATCCGTGGCAGGTGGAGAGGATTCTTGAGAGAAACAGACTGATGCGCCTGAAGCAGCAGCAACAGCAGCAGGAGCAGCAACAACAGCAGCACCAGCAGCAGCAGCAGCAGCAGCAGCCGCACCAGCAACCACAACAGCAACAGCAGCAACAGCAGCAGCAACAGCAACACCAGTGGGAGGAGGAGGAGGAAGAACAGCGAGGGCGGCGGCAGGAGGAGCAGATGCAGCAGGAGGTGCAGGGAGGGCAGCAACACGAAAAGCAGAAGGAACAGCATTCGAGATTAGAACTTTATGAAGTCAGAGAGGGAGAGGCAGATAGGTCAGATCAAACGGACGAGCATGTGACAGGTGGCAGCAGCGGATTGGCTGACGACCTGCAGGTGGACCTGCTGCCAGCGGGAGCATCTTCTGGGGGAGGTGCATCTGAGTGGGCGGCAAGGGGGGGGTTGCAACTGAGCAGAACCCAGAGGGATGGGACGGGAGGAAACACAAGGGGAGGACGAAGGGGGGATGTGGAGAGGAGGGAGAGAGGGGAGGATAGGGTATCGCAGGGGGGGAGGGGGTTCAGGAGAGCAAAGAGTGAAGAAGGGGAGCAGGAGGGCAGGCAGAGGGGCGTGAGGGAGAGATTGGAGCAGAGGGTAGAACAGAGGTTGGAAGAGAGGTTAAATGCGGTGGGAATGGGAGAGGGGGGTTATAGGAATGGTGTTGTTGCCGGGAGTAGTGGTACCAGTAGTTTGAGTGACAGGAGGAGTGTGAGCAGTAGTGTTGGCAGTAGCAGCTGCAATGTTGCGAGGAGGGAAAGGAGGGCGATATATGAGAGGAGGCTTGGGAGAGTGGAAGCAGAATATGGGAACCAAGGCTCGGTGGATGAGAGTCACCTTTTGGAATTGCAAGAGGAGCAGGAGGAGGAGGAGGAGGAGGGAGGACAGCAGGGAGAGGAGGAGGCGCGGCAGCAGCAGCAGGAGGAGGAGGAGGAAGAGGGGGAGGAGCAGCAACTGCTGCAGCTTCAGGAGCAGATTCTTTTGCAAGAGGAGCTGCAGAGTCATTTAGAGGAGGAGTTACAAGTTCAGGATCTGTTACGGTTACAAGAGGAGCATCAGCTGCAAGAACAGTTACAAGTGCAGGAACAGTTACAAGTGCAGGAACAGTTGCAGGTGCAGGAGCAGCTTCAGTTACATGAGCAGTTACAACTTGGGTTACAGGAGCAGTTGCAACTGCATATGGGGACGGAGTTACAGCAGGAGCAGCAGGAGCAGTTACAGGATGCAGGGTCGTTACAGGGTGGTTATGCAGAGGAAGTGGAGCAAGGATTGCTATGTGACGAGGAGTTACAACTTTCAGACGAGTTCCAGTTACAACTGCAGGGCGAGTTACATCTACAACAGCAGCTGGAGCAAAGGGAGATGGAGGCGTTACATGTGCAGTTTGAAGATGGGATGCAGCAAGAGGTACGGTTTCATGAGCAGTTACAACTTGAGGAGGAGTTACAGTTACAGCAGCAGCTTCAGGAGGAACAGATGTTGCAGCAGCAGTTGCAGGAGGGGCAGCAGTTACTGTTACTGCAGCAGCAGCATGAGCAGCAGCAGCAGGAGGCGGAGGATGCACAGCAGCACTTGCAAGCGGGGCAGCACTTGTTGCTGCACCTGCAGCAGCAGCAGGAAGAGGAGGATGATGCAGAGGAGCGATTGCAGGAAGAACTAGAGCAGCAGATCCAGCTGCTGCAGCAGCATCAGCTACAGCAGGAGCAAGAGCAGCAGGAGGAGGAGCAGGAGCAGCAAGCGCGACACTCAGGAGAGGCACAGAGGCAAGCACAAGTGAGTGCAGAAGAGGCAGAGGCACATGGACTTCATGACCCGTATGCATACAACGGTATTGGCAACAGCAACAGCAGCAGCAGCAACAGCTTCAACAGAGAGAGACTGGGTTTGGGGAGAGAAGCAGCAGCAGAAGCAGTAGCAGCAGCAGCAGCAGCAGAGGTACTGGGTCAAACGGCACAGGGAGAGGCATCGAGACCAGAAGGGAGCCTAGGGTTACAGGGTTCTGTGGGTAGAAGGCAGTTGAGGGACCCGAGGGAGCAGAGGGAGCAGAGGGGCGTAGATAGGCTCGGCAACAGGAGAGGCTCGGCGCCGAGGCTGCTAGGCGTGTACAGGAGGCACGGGAGGGAGGACCGGCACCGGCTGGAGGAGCTGACAGAGAATCTGGAGGATGGGGAAAGCACACTTTCTGGTATCACTATTGATGTTCCCCCCGGCGGAGATGACTATAACGAAGGGGACTACAGTGCTGAGAATGCTGGTGGTAGCAACAGCGGCAGTATGGGGTATACCGGTGTGTGGTTACCTGGTCAGATTGTCTCGAATCAAATCCGCGGGGAGCAGAGATCGTTTGATTCACCTCATGGTGTGCGAATGAGAAGGGCCGGCAGTATTGGCAGCCACAGCAGCACTCACAGCATCGGCCACAGCATCAGTCACAGCAGTCACAGCAGCGGCAACAGGAGCAGCAGAAGCAGCAGCAGGCGAGCCGGGCCCAGTAGAACCTCCCCTCGAATCATACCTGCTTCAGAAGGGCCCAGATACAACCTTCACCAGGCGAACCTCCCCCAGTTCAACCTCCCCCTCTCCCACAGCGAGGGCTCAGGCCCCTCGTTGACTCTCAGGGGTACCGGCCTATGTGGATGGTCTGGGTATGGTGGGGCTGAATAGTGGGCTGGTGGGTGGTATGGATGATGCTATGGGTGGTAGAATGGATGGGGACATGGATGGGGATGGGGTGGCGGGACTAGGGGCAGGGACGGTGAGCTACGGAGCAGGTTTGAGGCGTTTTCCATCGGGATTGGAAGGAATGGAAGGGGTTGGATCAGGGGGGGTTGGGTTTGAAGGGGTGGTGAGCGGTGGAGCGGGGCGGGTGGAGGAGGAGGAGGTGGAGGCGGAGTTGCTAGCGATGGAGGCAGCGGTTGAGTATAATGTGAGGGTGGTGACGTGTCAGGGGTCCCCTGTGCGCTGGCACAACTGCCACGTGTGCGTGCGGCCCAATGCGGTGCTGCTGGATGCAGCTGGGTGCATAGTGGTGGATGGGAGGGAGCTGCGGGCACGAGATGGCAGTCCGGTGAGCCTTGGTGTTGGTTGTGTCAGTGCCTTGTGTCAGCTCCTTGTGTCAACATTGTGTCAGCGCCACATCTGCGCCTTGCTCACCCTTGCATCCCTGTCCTCCTCCATTTTCTCAATGCACTCATCGACTTCTCTCCCCATTGCTACACCTCTCCTTCAACCCTAGACCTCATGCCAGTTCTCATCCCTTTCCCACTTCCCCTTGTCCACGCACAGGTGGTGTTGGAGGAGCAAGGAGAGAGCCTCATTCACGCCCTCATCGACTTTTCCCCTCCTCTGGTCCACCTCTCCTTCATCCACGCATTTCTTGACCTTGACCCGCGGGCTGTGGTGCTGCAAGAAACGGCAGTGAGGGTGAACCGATGGTTGAGTGACCGCCAGAACCAGCACGAGGTCGTTGCGCAGTTCCTCACATGTGATCGCCGGCTGTAATATCGGTAGTAAAAAAGGCTTTGAACGGTTAGGGATACTCATCACTGAAACTGCACCGCAGGCCGTGGTGCTGCAAGAAGAAACGGGTGTCTGTGAGGGTGAACCGATGGCTGGGTGACCGGCAGAACCAGCACGAGGTCATTGCACGCTTCCTCACATGCGATAGACGGCTATGATGATGAGTTGCTGTCGATCCGTGATGTGCGGCTTGGCTCTAACCTTGACCCACTGGCCGTGGTGCTGCAAGGAGCTGCAAGAAGCTGCAAAAAAACTGCAAGAAACGGTAGCGAGGGTGAATTGATGGCTGGGTGACCTGCAGAACCAGCATGAGGTCATTGCACGCTTCCTCACATGCGATCGCCGATTGTGACTCTGACATGGGCTTTGAATTGTCAACGGCACTGGTCACTGCATTAGCATCACAATCCGTGGCTGAACGACGGCCAGCCGCGAGAACCAGCATGATGTCACTGCGCGATTCCTCACTTGCAAATTGCAATCATAGATCATGATGTTATCCTAAATTGTGCTGTGAGTTGTTGTCGATCCTAGTCACTGCGTCAGCACGTGCTGTGGTGCTGCAAGAAACAGCTTTGAGGGTCATTACCGTGTTGTGTTGTGTGTGATTAGCACCAGTACCTAACTGTCAGAACACGCTCTTAACTCTTGACTTAGTAACTTAGGGTTTACCTAGGAAGCGTGAGTGTCGAGAGTGAGCATGGCAAGAGAATTGGGCAAAGAGGGGATTCACTAAGGAATGTTTACAAGATATAGGATAGGGGAGAGGATAGGGTACACCACCAGCAGTTGAACCTAATAACTAACTAATACACTAGCAAGCTGTAGGCAGTTAGGATATGCAATATAATTCAACACACCCCCGTAACTGCCTACGGCTATAGCTAGTGGTGTCTGGCACCAGGTCGCCTGGAGAGCGGTTGCTGTAGCTGGGATAGGCACAGAAACAGCGGTGGCTGAGCGGCAGCACCTGTGAACGCCAGAACGGAGGAGGGCGCGGAGAGCGCGGAGGAGGGCTGGGATAGCCGGAGGGCGAAGGATGCTGGTCGCTCGCCATCTACGAGAAAACACAACTGTTGGTGAGGAGGAGGAAGCTGGTGGTGGTGCACAGGAGGAGAGCAGAGGAGATGCGGCTGGAGAGGAGAGAGGAGGAGGAGATGCGGCTATAGGAGAGGAGACTGGAGGAGGAGATGCGGCAGAAGGAGAGGAGAGGAGAGAGGAGGAGATGCGGCTGGAGGAGAAGAGGAGAGGAGAGGAGAGGAGAGGAGAAGAGGAGGAGAGGAGAGGAGAGGAGAGGAGAGGAGGTGGCTGGCGCGGCAGAAGCTTTCCCGCCACCCCCTCATCCCCCTCCCCCCCATGCGCTGGCGCTGGCGGAAGTGCTGGCGCTGGGCGCTGGCGTCGCGCTGGCGCTGGCGCCCGCCGTTGGCGCTTGCGCTAGCGCCCGCCGTCGGCACTGGCGTCCGCGCTGGCGCTTGCGACCGCCGTTGGCGCTGGCGGTGGCGCCCGCCGTTGGCGCTGGCGCTGGCGCCCGCCGTTGGCGCTTGCGCTGGCGCCCGCCGTCGCCTCGCTGGCACGCTCGCCACTGGCAGAGCGCGACGGGGCAGGCGAAAGGGGGCAGCGCGACGGGTGCTGCAAAAGCAGCGGAGTTCGAGCCAGCAGCGGATTTCGCGCTACTAGCAGTAGCAGCCATGCCAGCAGCACAATAAGTCGCCATGGCAGATCGCGGGTTTGGTGGGCCCATGAAAACGAGGTCCCAGGAGGGACCACTCTCTGATATCATGTCAGAACACGCTCTTAACTCTTGACTTAGTAACTTAGGGTTTACCTAGGAAGCGTGAGTGTCGAGAGTGAGCATGGCAAGAGAATTGGGCAAAGAGGGGATTCACTAAGGAATGTTTACAAGATATAGGATAGGGGAGAGGATAGGGTACACCACCAGCAGTTGAACCTAATAACTAACTAATACACTAGCAAGCTGTAGGCAGTTAGGATATGCAATATAATTCAACACTAACCACACCATACGCTCTGGCACAAGATGATACCATAAATCTGTACCAAGGGTTGCTGTAAGGACTGCTTCGATTGAGTGCGGAGCAACACGTTCATTCGGTACAGCGACATGAAATCAGCCCCCATTTGAAACCACATTAGACTTAGAGGTGTAAAATCAACTGCTCCATTAATTACCGGTAGTACCATGTTGTGAGTGATTAGTATGACTGGGAGGCAAAATCGTCACACCTTACACTGCATGACCAAGGCACGTGAAATCCCTTACGCATCTCGCTCGTACGCTCGAACCTCTAGCTCAGACAACGAGGGTCGAACCACCATCAGTGCAGCGTCAAAGTGCTCCTGAGAAACGCACGGGGGAGTGGTATTAAAAGCAGCCACTGCTGCTGTTGCTGCTGCTGCTGCTGCAGCTTGTGCTTCTGCGTTTGCTCCCCCCTGTGCTGTATCCTCTGCTGATGCTTCACTCCCTCCCTCCCCATTTCCAAGAACCTTCCCCCTAAGCGCTGCCAAGGCGGCTTCCCTGCACAGCGCTGCCACGTCAGCGCCCGTGAACAGAGCCGTGCGGGCGGCGACAGCTGGCAGGCTGACGTCAGCAGCAAGGCGCATGGCGGATGTGTGGATCTGTAGTGCGTGTAGCCTGCCTGCTTCATCCAACGGTGGTACATAGATAATCTGATGGGGAGAATGGAAGAGAGGGAAGAGCGGGAGGGGGAATGGAGGGGAACCGGCAGGAAAATACTTAGGGAAAAGGGGAAGGTAGGCGTTTGGATGTCCAGGGCGTGCAGCCTGCCTGCCTCATCCAATGGTGGTACGTAGATGATCTGATGGGGAGGATTAGAGGAGAAAAGGAATCACTCAGTAATAAGGAAAAGTGTGTGGATGTGCAGTGCGTGCAGCCTGCCTGGTTCGTCCAACGGTGGCACGTGGATGATCTGATGGGGCGGATGGAAGGGGAAGAAGGGGGAGGTACGGCAGGAAACTCGTGAGGGAGAAGGGGAAGGAGTGTGGATGTGCAGTGCGTGCAGCCTGCCTGGTTCGCCCAACGGTGGCACATATATTATCTGACGCGGAGGATGGAAGGGACGGGGAAGTGGTGACATGTAGTGGAGGATGAAAGGGGAGGAACAAGTGGTTGGGGAACGTGGTGACAGAGCGACCAGTGACTGAGTATGGTGGGGGCACTCACCGAGTCAAACCTCCCTGGCCGAATGATGGCGGGATCCAGGGCTTGGAAGCGGTTGGTTGCTGCTATCACCAGCACTGACGATGAGGAGGAGGAGGAGGGAGCGGAGGAGGAGGGAGCTGAGGTGGCGTCTGAACTGCCTTGTCGTGTGTTGCTTGTGGTGCTTGAGGGTGCGCTGGGAGCAGTGAGCGACTGAAGCCCGTCCATTTCAGTCAGCAGCGCCGCCAGCAGCCTCTCTCCCACGCTGCCTCCGCCCCCCCCTCCCCCTCCACCTCCACTTCCTGAGCTTTCTGCTTCGGATCTGGTGGGGATGAAGTGAGAGGGGGAAAACGGACAGGTGGGGAAAAACATCGGATATGAAGCACCAATTTGGACATGCATTGCTTTGTTGCACCGGCATTTGCTTTTAAGAGATTTTTAGGTATCAACCGGCACCGACCATTGCATGCGGCACCGCACTGCACCGTACTGCACTGCATCACTCTGAACTGCTCTTAACCGCTCGACACTGTACTGCACTACTATACACACCTGCGCCCCCCCACCACGTCGACCTTGTCGTCCACAAACACCACGCTGGTAGCCGCCTGTCAAACATTTAGTCTATATTGCATTACAGCGCACGGCTCTCAACCGCTTTGCACCGCACTGTAACACTCAACTGTGCCCCCCCACCACGTCCACCTCGTCCACAGACACCACACTGGGAGCCGCCATGCGCGCCAGGCGGAACGTGTCTTTGACAGGTCAGATCTCATCGTCTGCACTGCATTGGACTGCATCGCATTGCACCACTGTGTACCGCACTGAACCACTCAGCTGCGCCCTCCCACCGCATCGACCTCGTCCACAAACACCACGCTGGGAGCTGTCATGCGAGCCGGGCAGAACGTGTCTTGACAGGGTCAGGTCTCATCCTCTATCATACATGATGTAGATTGCACTGCGCTGGACTGCACCGCATTGCATCACCTCACATCACACTGCACCGCTCTGCACCGCACTGTACCCACCTGCGGCCCCCCACCACATCCACCTCATCGACAAACACCACGCTGGGAGCCGCCATGCGAGCCAATCGGAACGTGTCTTTCAGCATCGCCTCCCCCTCGCCCACGTACATGGAAAACAGATCCGCACCGCTGCAGATGGGAAGGGGATGGGTGCAGGAGGGAACAGAGGGATGGACAGAGGTCAGCCACAGCTTGTGTCTTTGAGCATCGCCTCCCCCTCGCCCACGTACATGGAAAAGAGGTCTGCACCGCTGCAAATAGAAACGGAAGGACCAAGAGGCACGGGATAAAGAGCATGAGCCAGCAACAAGGAGCTGTGTTATCAGTCTGCAACGGAACGTGTCTTTGAGCATCGCCTCCCCCTCGCCCACGTACATGGAAAAGAGGTCTGCACCGCTGCAACAGAAAGGGGATGGGTGCGAGAGGAAGCATGGCTGGACCATGGGGTGTCAACACAGGTGTGTCTTTCAGCATCGCGTCTCCCTCGCCCACATACATGGAGAACAGGTCTGCACCGCTGCAAAAACGAAGACAAGAGGGAGCAAGAGACATGAGCGAACAAGCATTAGCCAGACTCAGCAAGCAGGGAAATAGGGCAGGCAGCAGATTGTGTCTTTGAGCATCGCCTCTCCCTCGCCCACGTATATGGGGAAGACGTCTGCACCGCTGCAATAAATTAGTAAAGGAGACAGGAGAAAGCATGAACATATGAGTGTCTCCCATGGGCATGCGTGGAAACAACAGCCCCACTACATTGAGAAACAATTTGCCCTTGTGCTCTTTTGACCATCGCCTCTCCGTCGCTGAAAAGACGTCTGTACAGCTGCAGATAGAAAGAGAAGGTTGCACGAGGAAGCATGATCGACCAATGGTGTGTGTGTTTCAGCATTGCCTCTCCCTCGCACATGTGCGTGGAGAAGAGGTCTGCACCGCTGCTCGTGAGAAAGCAGAAAGGAAAGGGGACAAGACGCAAGGAAGTACAGTTGAGAAAGGAGAGGCGAGGAGAGAAGAGGGCGGACCTGAGAGAGAAGAGCGTGATCCGCATGGGCAGCAGCGAGGACGAGCATTGTTTTGCCGCCTCCAGGTAGGCCGTGCACTGCAGCAGCACGCCCCTGGGAGGGGTGAGAGCGAGGATCCGTGAGTGGACGACTCAAATGAAAGGAAGCACACCTGAGAGAGAAGAGAGTTGCCTTGGAGGCGTGGGCAGCGGCGAGGGCGAGCATGGTCTTGCCTCCCCCAGGTGGCCCGTGCAGCAGCACTCCTCTGGGGGGGGTGAGAGCAAGGCGCCAGAAGGCTTCAGGGTGCTGCAGCGGCCACTCCACTGCCATCTGCAGACGCTTCTGTGCGGTTGAGAGCGGTGCGGAGGAGTAGATGGGGGTAGGGGCGCAGGGGAAGGAGTGAAAGGGAGAATGGGGGGATGAGGGGCAGAGCGGCTCACTGGTCACTGGTCACTGGTCACTGGTCCCTGGTCACTGGTCACTGGTCCCTGGTCACTGGTCACTGGTCACTGGTCCCTGGTCACCGGTCACCGGTCACCGGTCACTGGTCACTGGTCACTGGTCACTGGTCACTGGTCACTGGTCACTGGTCACTGGTCACTGGTCACTGGTCACTGGTCACTGGTCACTGGTCACTGGTCACTGGTCACTGGTCCCTGGTCACTGGTCACTGGTCCCTGGTCACTGGTCACTGGTCACTGGTCACTGGTCACTGGTCACTGGTCACTGGTCACTGGTCACTGGTCACTGGTCACTGGTCCCTGGTCACTGGTCACTGGTCCCTGGTCCCTGGTCACTGGTCACTGGTCACTGGTCACTGGTCACTGGTCACTGGTCACTGGTCACTGGTCACTGGTCACTGGTCACTGGTCACTGGTCCCTGGTCACTGGTCACTGGTCCCTGGTCCCTGGTCACTGGTCACTGGTCACTGGTCACTGGTCACTGGTCACTGGTCACTGGTCACTGGTCCCTGGTCACTGGTCACTGGTCACTGGTCACTGGTCACTGGTCACTGGTCACTGGTCACTGGTCACTGGTCACTGGTCCCTGGTCACTGGTCACTGGTCCCTGGTCCCTGGTCACTGGTCACTGGTCACTGGTCACTGGTCACTGGTCACTGGTCACTGGTCACTGGTCACTGGTCACTGGTCACTGGTCACTGGTCACTGGTCACTGGTCCCTGGTCACTGGTCACTGGTCCCTGGTCCCTGGTCACTGGTCACTGGTCACTGGTCACTGGTCACTGGTCACTGGTCACTGGTCACTGGTCACTGGTCACTGGTCACTGGTCACAGGTCACAGGTCACTGGTCCCTGGTCCCTGGTCCCTGGTCCCTGGTCCCTGGTCCCTGGTCCCTGGTCCCTCCGCAGGAAGAAAGGAGTGAGCTGCTCCAATGTGGGAAAGGATTAACCCCTCCCTCCCCCTCTTTGAACGCTTCTCCCCTTCCCCACCTCTCACCTTCACGCCCTCAAGGCCTCCGATGTCGCTCCACGTGACGGCCGGTAATTCAGCCGCCACTTAGCGAGTCACGAGAGAGCACACAAGAGAGCGTGACATTTTTAGGTGCATCACAGGATTAACTTAAGAAAACCCACCTTGACGTCGTCTAGACCTCCAATGTCCATCCAGGTGACGGCAGGCAGTTCCGCTGCCACACCGCGAGTCACAGAGGGTCCCACGCGAGAGAGCGCCGCTTCGAAGTGCCTCATGCATACCAGCCCACGCTGATTGGTGCGTGTGGGCTTTAAGTTGCTGCATGCTGTGCTGGCATCAGAATCTGTATTAGTAGCAGAGGCAGTAGCAGCAGTACTAGTACCAGTATCAGTATCAGTAACAGTAACAGCGCTGGTACCAGTAGTGCTGTTCGCTTTGTCTGCGCTGCTGCCAATGTCACTCGTTCTGCTTGTCATGCAACTGCTGCTGCTGCCACCGTTGCTGCTTTCACTGCCACCATTGCTGGTGGTGGTGCTGCTGCAGCTTTCTGATGTAATGCCACTACCACCATCCAGCCTGCCTGCACCTCCATCCTCCCTTCTCGCCTCCCTCTCTCCCCCTCCCACCTCTGTTCGCTTCTCTCCCATCGCCTCTTTTCCTCCAGACTCCCCTTCCTCCACCATCCCCCCTCCCCTCTCCTCCTCCCCAGCAGCCAGATCCATAACAGCAGCGAGAGCAGCTTCGCGACACACGGCTGCCAGGTCAGCACCCACGTAGCCCTTGCAGCGCGCCGCCAGCTGGCGCATGTCCACGTCAGCATGCAGAGGCAGGGAGCGTGCGTGCAGCTGGGCGTTGGAGAGGGGGAGAAGGGAAGAGGGAGGGATGGGGTGATGGGGTGAAGGGGAGAAGGGGAGAGGGGGGGAGGGGGTGATGGGGTGAGGGGGAGACGGAGAAGAAGGTTGAGAGTGAGAGTCCATTGCGGTTGGAAGGAGAAGAAAGCTCTTTGGTTCTGTTGGTTATTTCCCAACAACTGGATGATAACACACACAGCCACAGCCACACACCCCCACCACTTGCTCGCACTCTCAAGGTGAGAACCTTACTTCGATTTCACTGATCTTCTCTCTCACAACTCACCTTCAGGATTGCCTCTCTCTCCCTCGTGCCCGGTACATTGATTGCAATCTCGCGATCAAATCTTCCCGGTCGGCGCAGCGCGGCATCTAGTGCGTTGGGGCTGCCAGAGGAAGGAAGAAGGTTTGGGGACAGGAGGGTGGATTAGGAAGGAAGGAGGAAGAATGGTCAAGGAGCTCCAAATTTGAATTGGGCGTGTAAAATCAGTTGAGGCACAGTTGTCTTGTTGCACGGAAGAGGGGAGGAGGGTGATTATTAATTGGGGATAGGTATAGAGGAGAGGCGGGATGCGGTGGGAAGAGGTGGGAAGCGATGAGAAAAGGTTTCTTTTACCGGTTGGTGGCAGCGATGACAACAAGTGGTCGTGAGGGGTGGGAAGCGGTGGGTTGGGAGGAGGAGGAGGAGGAAGAGGGGAGTGAGGAAGTGGATATCCCGTCCATGAGAGTGAGAAGCTGAGACACTATTCTTGTCTCGTTCTGCCGCCTGCTCATGCAGTCAGAGACACACACTCAAAGTTACACACTCGAGAGTCAAAAGAATAGGGAATACTGTTCAAGGGCCACACCACGACCACATGCTTTTTTATACACGCTAACTGTAAGCCACAGAATTGGGAGTCTCCTTTGAGATGATGCAGAACGCCAATCTCGTCGTGTAGTGAGTCGACTCAAAAACCGTAAACAATTAACAACCACACATCTGCAAACTCCTCTGAACCAACCACCTCCCAAACCCCTTTCTGTAACTACCTTGTACGTTACCTGGAGTCTCGTTTGGGATGATGCAGAACGCCAATCTCGTCGATGAAACACAGTAAAGTGCAGCAAATCTGCACCTCCCTCCCAACCCTCCTTTTAAAGCAATCCCATTCCAGGCACACACTGCTTGTGAGTAAGCCACCTACCTGGAGTCTCTCTTGGGACACAGCACGTCAATCTCGTCGATGAACACAATGGACGGCCGCACATCCGCCCCTCCCTCTGCCCCTCCCTCAGTAACTCCCTCTCTAACTCCTACCCCCAGTACCCCCTCCTCCTCTTTTTCCCCCCTGGCCGCATCAAAGACGTCTCTCAACCGCCTCTCGCTCTCCCCCGCGTATGCTCCGAAGATGGATGACGACCTGCATGCAATGCGGTGGTGTAGGGCAGGGATGGTTGGTTGGAGAAGGGATCATTATGAGTTGCCTCGAGCACCCTCTCGCTCTCCCCTGTATCCTCCGAAGATGGATGACGTGATGCATGGGGTGGTGTGGGGAAGACAGGGTCCCAAGACAGGGTGTAAGGCAGAGGGATGGAAACGAGGGACTCTTGCAAGGGTGTCTGAGGATGGATGATGATCTGATCTGAGAGATTCTTACAAGGCGGGTCTCTCGAACAGGGTTTCCCTTTTCATCTCAAAGGTAAAAGTCAACCTGATGCATGCAATGCAATGCAAGAGTGGCCGGGTGAATGGCTCAAGTTGACAACAAGCATTCACGGGGTCATGTGCTCACTCACGTGACGGTGAAGAGCCATGCGTTACACTCCCGAGCTATCTCCCTCACCATTAGCGTCTGCCAGCGCAGTGCATGCCATACCATGCACATTGGAAACATGGGATGGGGGCGAGCATGTGATGTGATGAGATGGCATGGGACGCCATCGACGGGTGAGTCTCGCAGTCAATCAGCAAAAACAATGCAGGCTGGTAAGGAGTCACCCTTACCTGTGCAAACTAGGGATTGAAGAAATTTATAATATTGTCGCACAGTCTCACCTTGCCTGTGCCTGGTGGGCCGTACAGGAGCACACCTGACGGCCACTGCACATGGAAAGTGGGTGGGGAGAAAGGGAGGGTGTGTGGATTGGGTCTGTTTTTGAGAAAGGGACTGTCCTCAGAGGTCTCGGGTTCAGGGTTTAACCCCTCAAGGTTCATACTTGAACGCTTTTAGAGGGTGTAGGGTTCTTAATCACACGCACCTTTAGGCCTAGCGCGGCGGCCTCTTTGGCGTACTTAATCGGCCACAGTACCACTTCCCGCAGCGCCTGCATGCTCTCGTCCATCCCCGCCAACTGCGCCGCATTTCCCGCCGCCTCTCCCCAGCCAAGCCCGCAGCGCCTTGCCACGTGTCGCCATCGGCAGCAGCAGGCGGAGGAGCGATCATTGCGAGGCGACGCGACGCGGGCCTAGGAGCGCGGCACGCGACTTCGGACTTGAGGCGACCCGGCAAGAAAAAAAACTCAGTGGAAATAGAGTGATGAGGAGATACAAGTTAGGCCGGGGCCTTGCTGGGGTTCCAACCCCTCAACTGCTATACTGCTCTCGAATTCGGCGAGTACTTCGAGAAACATAAGGCAGGGGGCGTGATGCGAGTGAGGCGACGCGAGGGAGGGCGGCACGAGCGGAAGGAGAGGTGGAAATGTGATCTTTAAGACGTTTCAGGAGGGACGGACGGTCGGCGATGGTTCACGCGATGGGTTTCGTGGATTCGACTAAAAAATCAACAATGCGCGTCACCGAATTGCTGCGACCTGTAGGGATGTTGCTGGTGGGACTCGGGGGGGCAAAAACATGAGAGGCGCAGTTGGTGACATGAGCGACAGAATGCGCAAAACTGCTTGGAGAAGTGGGGTATCGATCCCCATACCTCTCGCATGCTAAGCGAGCGCTCTACCATCTGAGCTACATCCCTATGCCAGCTGGCATCGTAGCAATTATAAATCGGATACGCCTTGAAAACTACTAGTTTGCCGTGCCTGTTTCGTGGTGATCATCATTACCGTTCGCCGCTCCGCCTCACATGCGCTTCCGCCTCCCCCTGCGCATGGCGCTGCTTTCCGGATCCCCCTCCCCGTCCCTTTCCGCGCTCCTCTCCTCCCGCCCCTTCTCCGCCCTCTCTCCCCTTGCTAGCGCCTCTTCCGCCTTCCTTTCCCCCAACCCCCTTCCCCTCCCCGCACTCTACGCGCCTTCCGCCCCCCGCGACCTCGATCTCCGACTCCCCGGCTTCCCCTCGCCACCCGCGCTTCGGCCGAAACACTCCCCGCATGCCCCGCGTCTTCCGCCGTTTCTCGAGGACCCGTTCCCCGGTTGCGGATTCAGGGAGATCCGTGAAATCGCGGTTCCGGGAATATCCATTCCCGCAAGGGGCTTCCCCCTCCCTTTCTCCGCCCCCGCGCATCCCGCGCTTGCGCCGAAGATATGGGCGGGGGGAGGTCCGCGCACGTTCCCCGGCGGAGTGACAAAGTGGCAGTGGAAGCGCATGCAGGAGAAAAAGCGGCGCGCGCGAGAGCGCGCGCAGCTGATCCGCGAGCAAGAGGCGTTCGAGGCGAAGCGGCGCGAGCAGCTCCGCATCTTGCGCGGCCCGGAGCGCCCCTGGGGGGAAGAATCCGACCGCGGATGGGGGAAACCTCCGCGGGAAGGGCGGATGCCGCCGGTTCTTCCGCCGCGATCCGCGGGGCCGCCACTTCCGTGGGAAAAGCCGCGCGGGGTTGATGACACTGCGCGCCGATGGGGAGAGGAGGATGGGGGCGGAGGGCTTTGGAAGGGTTTGGGGGAGGAGGAGGGGACGGGGGGAATGATAGTTCCGTGGGAGAGGCAAGGGGGGAAGGCGGAAGGGAAAGCGGACTGGGGGAGCGCGCGAGAGGAGCAATTGGGGAAGAGTGATTGGCGGAACCAGGGGGGCATGGCGGAAGGGCTGGGGGGAAAGGGGGAAGGGGGGCCAGTCCGCTGGGAGCGGCTTCCGCAGGTGCCATTGGCGGAGCGGAGGCGGCAGGCGGGGGGGGAACGCGGGTGGGGGGAGGAGCGCGCTAGGGGGCAGCAGCGCGCTTGGGGGGAGGAGCGCCTGAGGGAGGACCAGCGCAACAGAGGGGGGCAGCGGGGACGCGCTGCGCCAATGGCGGGGGAGGGTGTGCGCCCGTGGCAGCGGGAAGGGGAGGGGGAGATGCGCCAACAGTGGCAGCGGGGGGAGGAGGGGGAGATGCGCCAGTGGCGGAGAGAGGAGGAAGGGGGAATGCGCCAACAGCAGCGGGGGGAGGAGGGGGGGCGCGTGTGGTGGGAGGAGGATGCGGAGGAGGGGGCGGAGAGGGGAATGCGCCCACGGGAAAGGGGGGAGAGGGGGAGAGGGGAGAGGGGAACAGCAAGGGGGAGAGGGGAAGGGGACGATCTCAACAATTCTCTAGATACGCGGACAACATGGGGGGGTACTGGGGTAAGAGGGGGAAGGATGAACGAACGGGGGGAAATGGAGGAATTGGCAGAGGAATGGGGGAAAGAGGGAGAGGAAGGGGGAGAGGGCTGGGTGTGGTGGGAGGAAGGAGGGCTGTATGGTCGAGGTAGGGGAGGAGGAGAGAAGGGAGGAGGAGGAGGGAGAGAAGGCAGCGGGAGGGGCGGAGGAGAGAGGCGAGAAGGTGGGACGGGTGGAGATGGGATGGGAGCAGGGAGGGCAGGAGGGAGAGGAGGAGGAGAAGGAAAGGCGTCCTCTGAAGCGCGCCAAGCCAGGCAAGCACAGCCACCGGCAGCGTTTTCCACACCAAGGGAAGAGGCAGGAAGGGGGAGAGGAGAGGAGAGAGAACGCGCGTGGGGTGTGGGCGGAGGAGCACGAGGAAGGGGAGGAGGGAGAGGAGGAGGAGGGAGAGGCAGAGGAGGAGGGCAGAGGGGAGCTTATGCTTATCAAGGATCAAGCCGGGCGAGCAGGGGAGGAGGAAGGGGAGGAGGGAGGGGAGCGCCATTGGTGCTGCCTGCAGTGCCGGAGGAGGTGATTGGTCGGCACGTGAAGCTCAAACACGTGGAGGATCTTTGGAACGAGGATGACGGGCCGCTGGAGAGAGGATCCGGGGCTGCTTATAACGAGTATGGGACTTCGCCTGGTGCTGGTGCTGCTGCTGCTGGTGCTGATGGTGCTTTGAGTACAAGAGGCAGCGGTCGAAGAAAGGAGGAGGAGGAGGAAGAGGAGGAGGACAGGAGGGCTGTCTCGCGGATCCCATGGTTGGCTTTTGCTGCTTCTGACGATGATAACGATGGTGGTGATGGCGGTGGGAGGAGCAGCAGCAACAGCAGCAGCGGCAGCAGCGGCAGCGGCAGCAGTAGCAGCGGCAGCAGTAGCAGTAGTAGCAGCAGTGGCAGCGGTGGCGGCAGCATGAGGGGGCGGGCATGGAGGAGAAGAGATGTGTCGGCATCTGCTGTTGCCACTGGTGTAACCATGCGTGGGACCATGCCCATCAGCATGCCCATGCGCATGGCCATGGGTATTGCCATGCCCATGCCCATGCCTATGACCATTCACATGCGCATGCACATTGGTATGCCTGCTGCTACCAGCATTGTTGCTGCCTCTGCTGCTGCTACCTGCAGGCGCTTTTCCTCCGCGTCTCCTCTCTCGGCTGGTGCTGTCGTTGGTGCTGTTGCTGCTGCTGACCATGTTACAGGCACCAGAGAACGCAACATCATCACACCACAGGGTCAGAGCAGTGCTGCTGACAATACCAAGCCTGATAACACCGGTGATGGATGTGAGAACAGCAGAAGCGGCTCAGTGGGAGTGGAAGCTGGCAGTTTTTCCGCCTTGCCGCTATCTCAGGCCATGCTTTCAGCCGTTCGCAGCAGCATGGGGGTTGATACCACTGCCACGGACAAAACAGAGCGTGAGCGTGCTGATACCAGCGGGGAAGCAACCAGTTTTACCGCCTTGCCGCTATCTCAGGCCGTGCTTTCATCCGTTAGAAGCAGCATGGGCTTTAAGCGCTGCACTCCCCTACAAGCTGCTACCATGCCGCACATACTCGCAGGTACGCTGATTCTGGTGCCGCTGCTTGCCATTGCCATTGCAGTTCTCGTGTCTGTTCTCCGCGCAAATACGCAACTTTCGTTCTCTTCGTTTCGTTTCGTACACTCATCCCCGCGTCCGACTGACTCAGTGTTTCTCCTCTCTCGTACTTCCGTTCTCCCTTCTTCTGCCTCTCTTTCGTCAGGAGCTGATCTCCTTGTCAAAGGCAGTTCAGGCACAGGGAAGACCATGGCTTATATGGTGAGTCCGCATATTGGAGTGACCTTCTAGATAATAAAAAGTGACTCGATGTTTGCTACAGTGAGGTCCCGGGTTCGCCAGTGACCGAGCGAGACTAGCAGCATCCAGCTTCTCTTGGCTCGCCAGTGGAGGTGATGCTGGTATGCGATAATAGAGAGAGGGCCGAGAGGGCTCTGCAGAGGGCTCAGCGAGTGTTCCCCTGTTTCTCCCCCTCGCACTGCTGTGCAGATACCCTGTCTAGACAGGCTCGTTACAGGCTTCTCCGACTCTCCTGTACAGCTGCTTGCCGGTGCAGGCACCCCAGTGGAGGTGCTACTGGTGTGCGCTAACAGAGAGCGAGCAGAGAGGGCTCTGGGGCAGGCTCAGCAAGTGCTGCAGCTGCTTCAGCCGCCTCAGTCACAGCAGGCGCACAGAAATTTGCAAGGGCAGGGAGGGAGCATGGGAGTAGCGGCGATGGGGAGAGGAGCAGGTGGAGGGAGGAGAGGAGGAGGCGGAGCGAGGCGGGTGGAAAGGGGAAAAGGGAAAGGAGTTGGAGGAGTGGGAGGCACGGGCAGCAAGGGGTGGGGTGGCAAGCAGTGGGGGTGCAGATGGTGGTGGGAGGGTTGAGTATGGATGGTGAGGGGAGGCGATTGCAGCAGGCGCCGTGTCAAGTGCTGGTGGCGACTCCTGCTCGGCTGTTGGAGCACTTGCAGCAGACTCAGGGCATGCGGAACAGAGTGCAACAGATGAAGGTGAGTGCAGCATCTCAGGGCATGCAATGCGTATAGGTATGGATGGCAGGGAGAAAGCAGGGGAGTGCAGTTGACTGTGGCTACCCCTGGATGGCTGTTGGGGCACTTGCAGCAGACTCAGGGCATGCGGAACCGAGTGCAGCAGCAGAAGTTGAGGAGGTATGCAGTAGAGGAGGTGACGGTGCGTGAGAGGAGTTAGTGGGCGAGGGCTTAGAGGACGATATGGGGTTCACGCCACATTGCTTCCCACATACTATGGGTGTGTGCTGTGCAGGTGCTTGTATGGGAGGAGCTAGATCGCATGGTCGAGATGGGTTTCACTCTCACCATACACACCATTGTTCCGCTCCTGCCACGCACCCGCCAAACGCTGCTCTTCTCAAGTGCTCTCTCCAATGAGGTACTTCTCCTTATTTATTATCTCGTGTGCCGTTTGCCCTCCCTACCCTGTGCAACCAACTTCCCTTCTGCCCTTCTCAAACGCCCTCTCCAATGAGGTACCCTACATTCTCCTCATTTAACCTTCCCTGCCCGCCGGTCTCCCCTGGCTTCTGTTCTTCCAATCTGACAGTGTTTTGAGACGTCTCAAAACTCTATCTGACAGTGCTGATGGTTCCCTGCTCTGATTTACTCCGCTCTTTTTGTAAGCAGGTGATGGATATTTCACAACTGATGCTCAAGGCTGATTATGTATCAGTTGATATGGGTAGTAATTGACTGGGGAAGTGGTAATAGCGTTGCTGTGAACATCACTCTCATTATTGGGTTCATTTGTCAACACAGCATCGTCATTGTTGTTACGGTATGTTTGGTTAAAAGCATGAGAGTTAAGAATAGCTACCTATTCCAAGCTTGTGATGGCTGCAGGTATCACAGTGATAGTGTAGTGCCTTGTACACTGTGTATTATTGATTGTTCTCTCATGTACTGTACTGCTCATGCTTCGTTTTTCGCCTCATCCCTCAGACAGTCGCGTGATCAATATTTTTTCATTTGACCTGCCTGCTCCCACTATCGTCCTAGTTAACTGGAACCATTCTCAGCAGCACAGCTGGCCAAAAGTCTCACACTCAGTACACCCTAACCAGAGCACACAAACATGCAAATTGACCAAACCCGCTGTTCTGCCTTGCACCTACAGCCCCCTACATACCGGTAACAATTACGGTACAAGTTGCATACTGGTACTAATACGTACAATAGTACCAGTGCCACTACAGTCTACATGGATCCACTAAACAAAACGGCAAAGAGAACAGATTAGAAGGATCCATGCTGATCCCTTATGCTCCAGGTCAGTCTTCATCAGCCTGAATCTACTCCTCCACTCCACCTTCCCCACAAGCTCTCATTTGTTTAACACCCACTGACACAAACACAACTTCCCACAGACCACAGCTGCTCCTTTCGGTGCTGATGCAAGCATGCAGTGGCAGGGCCAAAATCAAGCAGATAAGAGGAGCACAGAACACTGTGTGCCCCGCTGTGAACTGAGATGAGCTTCACGGTTTGCAGCGTCGCTGTTGGAAGCTGTGGATCCAGCAAGCCTGAGGCCACACATACAGACGTGTTCCCTCGTCGACTTTTGCTGTGCCTCTTGACTGCTAACGACCAAAAGTCCAGCTCCCCACCACAAGCAGCATCTCACTCTACATTTCGGCTTCCCTCTCCTTCCACTGCAGCCATCACCGCCAGTCTCTACAGCTCCACAGAGCAGATCGCGTCTCACTGCTAGTCTTTCAAGGTGAGGCGTGCATAAATACCCCGCAGGCCACCCTGCCTGCCCCCAACCCCGGGGTCCTTGAGCCTTCCAAGACTTCCAAGCCTTTCAAGGCTCAAGGATCCCAGCTTGAGCCACCACCGCCACAGCACTCTACTGCTCCCGGCGCCCACAGCAACCAATGGAGCAAAGCAACCACCGTCTTGATTTCTGCATTGGTCCAAAAACCATGTCCCCCATCTGTACCCCTCACCCCGCACCCTTCTTCCTCCATCCCTCTTCCTCCATTCCTCCCCCCCCCCTTCCTTCTGAAGTCACCAGATCTCGCCACCTTACCCCCCACATTCCCCCCAGCGCCGGCAGCGGCAGCAGCGGACTGCTCCTGAGCCGCAGCAACCAGCGGGCGAAGCGTCTCCACCATATCGCTCATCAGCGCCCCTCTCTCCCCACAGCCCTCTTCCACAACCCCGTTAGCACACACCCTACTCCCCACCCCCAGCACTGGCAGCGGCAGCAGCAGACTGCTCCTGAGCCGCAGCCACGAGGGGACGAAGCGTCTCCACCATATCACTCATCAGCGGCCCCAGGTTCGGATCCTCCTCAATGCAATGCTTCGCCGAAATCGCCAACTTGTGTGCCGCCCGCTGCACCCTTTCCCCTGCACCCCCCTCCATCCCGCTCCCCCCCAGGTTAGAGGATCACCCTACTCGCCGCCACCCCCAGCGCTGGCGGCAGCAGCAGCCGATTGCTCCTGTGCCGCAGCAACCAGGGGACGGAGAGTCTCCACCATGTCACTCATCAGCGGCCGCAGGTTCGGATCCTCCTCAATGCAATGCTTCGCCGAGATCGCCAGCTTATGCGCCGCCCGCTGCGCCGCCTTCGTCGTAAACTGGTCCAACAAACACGGGTCGACGAGAGCTCCAATATCAGGCTTGCGCTGGTTCAAATACTGCTGCGCCCACGCCGTGAGCGGCGGCATGCCCTGCTGCGTCTGATCCATGGCGCGCTTCCCTGTGAGGAGCTCGAGGAGCATGACTCCGAAGGCGTAGACGTCGGATTTGCGCGTGAGCTGGCCGGTTTCCATGTACTTGGGGTCGAGGTACCCCATGGTGCCCATGATGCGCGTCGTCACGTGGGTTTGGTCCGTGTCCGCTCCCTTTGCCAGCCCGAAATCCGTCAGCTTTGCAGACCAGTCCTGCGGGGGAGAGGACGGAAGGAGATGGGGAAAGCGAGGGTGGGAAGGAGGGCGGCGGGGAATGGAGGAAGAGGGAGAAATGGGGAAGGGGGATGAAGGTATGATATTAAGAGACATGAAGTCTTGGTGAACAATGTTCTTCTCATGCAGACACGCCGGGCCAGCACACAACTATCAGCTCTGAGGTACACCTTTTTTAGTAAGCACAGCACTCACATCACCGAATAAAATATGCAGGTACGCCAGGCCTGCATCACTTCGTCATGTTAGTTCTGTGTTCTACCTCATTAGTAAGCACAGCACTGAGCACTCACATCATCGAGCAGGATGTTGGGCGCCTTGAAGTCGCGGTGAATGACGTTGTTCTCATGCAGGTACGCCAGGCCAGCAGCAGCATCGAGGGCAATGCGCAGCCGCACCTCCCATGGGAGCGGAGTGGGGGGCGTGGGGTCGTCCTCCTTGGGCTCTGAGGGGCGGAGAGGGGTGAAGAGGGGCGGAGAGTCGCGGAGAGGGGTGGAGAGGAAAAGAGAGGAAGAGAGGGGAGGAGGGGGGAAAGAGAGAAACAATGAAGAGTGACAAATCGACCTGTCGAACTTTCACGGGAGAGGAGCGAGGGGCGTGGGCTCTTGGATAAGTGGTAAAAATCGGTACACGAGTACAAAACCACCCGGGAAGAGGTGGTAGTCCAGACTGCCCCTGCCCAGGAACTCATACACCAGCATACCCTCGCATCATCGTGAGCTTACTCCCACAACAAGTGACCTGGTAAGAATCACTTACCCGGACAAAAAGAAGAGGTGGTAGTCAAGACTGCCCTTGCCCAGGAACTCATACAACAGCATACACTCGCATCATCGTGAGCTTACTCTCACCACAAGTAACAACTGACTGACCTGGTCAGTTGACGAAGCCAAACCTGTCAATAACGAGTACAGAATCACTCACCCGGGAAGAGGTGGTAGTCCAGACTGCCCTTGCCCAGGAACTCATACACCAGCATACCCTCCCCGTTCTCCGCACAGTACCCGAGAAGCTTCACCAGGTTCTGATGGCGCACGCGACCCAGAAGCAGAATTTCCGCCTGGGGGACAAACAAGACAGGGGCACGAGGGGGTTGGCACCGGCGTGTGAGGGAAGAGAAGCCCGTGCAGGCAACTGACTAGCTTTTGGGTTGTCGAACCACATTGCCATGCAATCCATTGCTCAGCACGCGTTGCCGAACCTGGAAGGTTTTCCCATCGACTCGACTCACCAGCCACTCCTGCTGGCCCTGGAAGCTGTTCGGGTTGAGCTTCTTCACAGCAATGGGGAAAGCGTCCTTGCTGCCCTCCCAGTCTTTAAGAAACCCCTTGTACACCTTGCCGAACCCGCCCTCGCCCAGCACGTTGTCGGGCTCCTTAAAGCCCTGCGTCGCCTTGTGCAGCTCCTTGAACTTGAACGTGCGCAGCTCGAACGGCGCCGCCGGCATGTCCAGCCCCATCAGCGCGTTGTCGCCCTGCGCGGGCGGTGCTGGGGGAAGGAGCGCGGGGGGGCGCGGGGAAGGGATGGAAAGAGTGGGGGGGAGGGAGAAGGGGGCGGCAGGAGGCCAGGGGAGGGGACAGGGAGTGAGGAAATGGGGAGAACAAGCGACGGCGGAGGAAGTGAGAGATGGTAGTTTACTCTCTCTTTCTCCCTCCGCTTCTAGGGTCCGAACTTCCACGTACCAAGAGAAAAAAGAAACCCACCTGACCTAACACGAGAAAGGCAGAAAGCATACACTGAAATCATCGTTGCCGCTTGTCACACCCTTAGTACCAGTCAACGCATGGAAGGCACAACGCTTTTCTGTTACTTCAGTTTCGGCTCTGGTATGCGCTTAGACGCATTTAACAAAGCAGGAAAGTTTGCGACAATATTGGCACAAGAAACGTACGAGGCTTCTCTGGTTCCTTGGGTTTCGGCGGCTCTGGAGCGGATGGCGCGGGTGCTTCATGTCCGTTCACGTTTGCTGGATGGGGGAAAATAAAGCGTACGAGGAAACGAGTAAGGGTGGGAAAAAAAAAAACATACAACGGGAAAGGAAGATGGACAATAACGAGCCAGAAAAAGGATTGTTTCGGCTTAGAACAGTTAGGTCCTGGAAACGGCGTGAGAACTGCAAGCGTTAGCAAGTCATTATTATTCGAAAACCCGTAAAACATAAAAAGCAAACTGCAAGTGGCACGTCGTCACAAAAAACAAGGAAGAAGAGCGTTTGACAACGGGAATAAAACGACGGGAACCGAATAGAAGGCATCAACGTCGGCGAAGAAACAAAGTTGCAGACTGGAGAAACGCCACACACAGCTTGAAGGACCCGAAAAAAAAAATGTTTACATAACGTAGCCAGAACTGGATGGCGCATTGAGATGACATTTGGGTAGACCCTGAAATCGTTTCGATTAAGTTTGGTGAGCGCTTATTGAGACGGAGTTTATTCTGCTGCCATGTTGTGTCGACTCTTTAGCAGCTTTTAATTCTGCACAATAACCAAGACTGAAGAATAATAGCTTCACCTTTGGCGGGAGCTTCATCAGTTGGACTCGACTCCGGAAACCGTTGGTCAACCTCCCCTCCCCCCCCTCCCCCTCCTAAGCAGTTACCCATTTCAGATAGTTAGCTCTACAAGACAGCTATGTCTTCAGCAGTCAACGTGTCTTTCCATTGACCCCAGCCACAGCGAAACGTGTAAGCTTTCCAAGAAAGTCGACAGACACCCGAATATTCTTAATTTATTATCTACCTGCAACTTAATGCTACCCGTTCACCAGGCAATGGCGACTCGGGCCTGTAATTAGTCGTAAAAAGCTGCAGAGGAAAACAGGTTCAAATAGTACACCTTTTTATAACAGACGTTGAGAACGTTAGTGTCTAGGTTTTATAACAACTGGCGTGGAAATAAGCTATCAACTTTTCCAAAACAATCGGCAATGTCTAGGTTTGGTTCGAGTCGCGCCCTAGACTTAGGTCCCCTTTTGCGAACCGAGGCAGGTTAGTTAGGAGAAAGGTAGGTGGAGGGGGCCCGACCACGAAGGCTGCCTTGGGATTGTCGTGCTTGCCGATAGCGATTTCGCAAAACACTCTTCTATCGAGTACGAGTGGAGACAGATGGTTTTATCTGGTGGTCGTTGGATGGATGTTGAAACCAGGTGATTCTCAGCCACGAACGAGTACAGCAAGGTTTACTTTTTAGCTGTTGGATCCTTCGCGAAGATTCGAGTACACCCACGAGCATCACGGAAACTGGGCAGGAACGGTACAGTCTACTTCTACTGTTTCTCGAGACATGTTGCGGCTCCCAAAACAGTCTACTGTATTCTGGGAAAACTCCATGGGTGGGTGCCTTCAGACTCGAGAGGTTCCATCGTTTGCACTACGAGATATTTTTTTTTTTATAGTGAAAGCTTATACTAGGAGTGTACAAGCAAAACACTTCAGTCGTAACTGATGCACTACGATTTTTGTTTCCCGGTGGCGGTGAATTCACGGTGCTTCCTGGGCAGCCCGAAACGGGTAAGTAGTGTCAAGATGGAAATCTAGTCCGCTGATTGAGAATATTGAGCGGCTCGTTGGAGGCTTGACGGACGTGAGTGACTGTAATGAGGTCTATCTAAACCGAGAATGTCACTACAGTTTCCAGAGCAGCCAAGGATTCTACAGAGAGTATCACTGAATATCTATAATGATAAGTAAATATCAGCCAACTTTCACATTAGCATCACTCTGAAACTAACTTATGTATCACTGCTAACCTAATGCTCTAACTTACTCAGCCTTGGTTGGCTTGGGAGCTGATTTACCACGATTAAGGCGAGATGCTGGTGTGGAGTGCTCTGATTGAGTGAACCTGATAAGCACCTGCATTACACCGAGTACGGCAGCCACGCCAACAGCTATCCATCCCAAAGTTGCCCATGTGAAGGTAATCGACGATAAGTTCCGGGTGAAGATCCAGCCATATACCGCGAAGTTCAAAACCGTCCAGAAGCACGTGTGCTGCAGAATGTCAGACGCACAGGCAGTGGCAGCAATACCACAGGGAAAGGCGAACGGGACATGGCATGAGATGTGGTACAAACACCGCCACTTTTATAAAACATTAACAGTAGGGAAAATCGTTGTCTCGTCGCACACAAAAGAACAGCAAAACAGACACGCAAAGCTTCACACTGACCAGAATGGATTTTGGAGACTTGGTAGCGTTGAGCCTCTGCTTCTCATCGAAGCCGTTGTGTTCAACATAATAATCCAGATTCTTGTCCTGCTCGTATCACATGTGAAGGGGCAGGTGACATAATAAGAGGATTGGGTGAGGGCGAGGAAGGAGGTGAGAACGTCAATGTGGTGAGGGAGGGGAGATGCCAATCTGAATATGCTTCGCACATTGCATAACGGAGAGTCACAATCTCAAGGCGTCCTAACAGACAGACTCGTCAACCGCGCATCCCCTGTTGTTCCATGCCTGACGAACAACAGCCTCGAGTCACGTAGACGCAAGGAAACCTGATAGGCGTGTCCACATGACTGTAGTCATGTGGCAACCTGGGCATGTGCACATAACTATGGACACATCTCCACCTGACGGGCATGTGCACATAACCCTAGTCCCATAGCAACCTGGACATGCGCGCAGGACCCAGGTCACGCCCCTTGTGCCTCTTGCTCCGCTCTTACGTTTTTCACAAACGATTCTTTCTTGGCACCATTTGGAGATGCCCTCTGCATCCTGAGGGATACTGGGCATTCTCAACAATGACTCAGATAAACCCCGTGCGCCTCTCACTCTGCTCTCTCTTACCTTTTTCACGAATGATTCTTGGCACCACTTGGAGATGCCCTCTGCATCCTGCGGAATCTTGTTTTTAATCGTCTCAACATACCCCTTGTAAGCCTCTCACTCTGCTCTCACCTTTTTCACGAACGATTCTTGGCACCACTTGGAGATGCCCTCTGCATCCTCAGGGATTTGGTCCATGGGGACCCGCTCATAGTACACGTCAATCTGAGAGTGATGAGGATGAAAAGGGTAATGGGGTAGGAGAGGATAATGGGGTTGGAAACGCAAGGGATGGGAAGGGGAGAGGATATTTGAGACGTCTCAAGAATCCATTTGGTGATGCCCTGGCATCCTGCGGAATCTGGTCCATGGGGACCAGCTCGAAGTATACGTCAATCTGAGGGTGATGAGGATGAAAAGGGGATGAAAAGGGTGATGAGGGTGGGAACGAGAAAGAATGAGAATGGTTAATGGGGTGGGGAACGTGAGAGGGTTGACAGTGGGCGAAGGTGGGAAGGAGAGATGGGCTGGAATGCTTCAGTATGGGGATGCACAAACGATAGGAACGGACTTGGAAGGAACGGGAGCAGGAGTGGGCTGGTAACACAATGGAATGCTAACTATGAAGTCACTTTAAGCATTCTCAAAAGTGACTCCGTGGGATGGGAACAGGAGCAGGATGGTGGCACAATGGATCGCTATCAACAACCACAATCAATCAAGGCTTCAACACAGAGGGATGGGAACACAGTGTGCTGCACGTAGGTGGGGAGATAGAAGAAGGAATGGGGAATGGGGAGAGAAGGAGGGGCGGAGTGAGGAGGGAGAAAGGAGGAGAAGGGTAGGGAGGAATTTAACAAGTGAAAGGGGGCAGGCAGAGAAGCTGATCACTTCCCTGCAACGCCTTTCTCTTTAGAAATGTTAGTTAACGTCGCAGGTGTTGACTGTTTTTCTCTCTTTCTTTCTTTTCCAGGTTTTTAGCAAAGACCTGTTGCCGCCAGAAGGGGCGGGGCGCTTACCTGCGAGGCCTTGCGCTTGAAAATGTTAGCGAACGTTGGGGGGTTCGTCCCGACGGGGTAGTTCACAGTGAAGTCATAGATAGCCCCTGCATGGCCCCGCATCTGCTCCACTGACATGACCAGGCCCTGATTGCAGAGACAGATGCATGGGAAGAGCGGAAGGGTGGAGAAGAGGCATATGAGGTAGAGTGGAACAGGTGAGCACCTTCGTGCAGGGCACGAGCACGTGGCGGGGGGAGGGCAGCCCGGCTTCCTTGGCGTATTCCTGCGCCGCCTTGAGCATTTTTTCTGTGGCGCCCCAACAGCCAAATACTGCTCGGTTCCTATCCACCGTGATGCACTCCTGCCCACCGTACTGCACTCCTTCCTACCCACCGTACTGCACTCCTTCCTACCCACCGTACTGCACTCCTTCCTACCCACCGTACTGCACTCCTTCCTACCCACCTTGGTGCGGGGCACGAGCACGTGGCGGGGGATGGGCAGCCCGGCCTCCTTGGCATATTCCTGCGCCGCCTTGAGCTTCTCGGGCGTGAAGCGAGTGCCCTCCATGAACAGTGCCACCCAGAAGAACCGCGGGAAGCTGCGCAGCCGCGCATAGCCGTCCTGGGGAAATAGAGAGGGGGAGAATCCGGATGAATGTCAGGCACTTTGAAGGGGGGCAGAGGAGAGCAAGGGGCCTTGAGCTTCTCGGGCGTGAAGCGTGTGCCTTCCATGAACAGAGCCACCCAGGATTCATTTCTTACGAGTATTCTCCGCTGGTCGGTGGCGTAGTTACGGGCGATGAAGAGGTACTCAGAGAACCACATGGACCAGCCAATCACAGGCATCCACTTGGCCTCCTCCTTGATCAGCGCTCGCGTGCCTCCGAGGCAGCCGCACCTCTGCAGTGGCGTGGGGGACAGAGAGGAGGGGAGGGGACGGAGATGAGTGGGGAGGACGGAGACGAGTGGAGGGAGAGTGTGGGGGGGAGCGAATGGGGAAGATCCCTCCGCTCTGGCAGATTTCCTTCCTCGCATCGTTTCACTGGTCTCATAGCTCCGTGAAAATTCCTTCCGTGCTACATGAAACATCAGAGCTATTACCTAAAATGCCTGCAGGCCGCTACAGATAGAACACTTAAGAAGAAGGATCGCGAGAAACCCACCTGTGAGAAAACCCAGTCTATGGCCATCGGCTGGATCAACGTCGCTGCGGTGGTTGTGTTTTGAGGCGACTCAAAACACACAGCCACAGACTGAACGCATGGTAAGAGTGATCGAAAAACACCCACCTGGGAGAAAACCCAGCCTATGGCCCAGTCAACGTCGCTGCGGTGGTTGCTCACACACAAGGCGCTCTCCTTGCCTGTCGGACAACACGAAGGGACAGCGCAGGAAGCAAAGAGCAGCACGATCGGAATGAGCAGGTCGCGAAAGGGTATGCAGATGCAGAAGACAGCAATATCATCAGCTGCTTAACGTGTGCCCTTCGCAACGTCGGATCCGTTGGGAAAAATGCTCATGTGTTTAAACGATTAATCGAACGCGTACCGAAGTATGCGTGATCCTTGGGATCGCCGTACAGCCGGACCTGCGGATCACGTTGGCACACGAGCAGGAGCACACGAGCACAGGTGAATATGAGGCTTCCGTCAGGTATTGGGTCAATAACGCGTTTTGGCTTAAATAGCAGCGCAACTCTCCATCTAGTCACACGTTTAGAGAGGCGAATCAATAAGAGCACGCACCTCGACGCGGCCCCACCACTCGATGAGCCAGATGAGCATGGCCCAGAAGGATCCCATGAGGTACCAATTCATGACGCGGTACGTGCGAGGGCTGATGGGGAACACGAAAATGGAGAGCGCGATCTGCGGAAACGGGAGGTAATTCGAGGGATAAAGGACAGAGCACGAACGAAGAGAGGATGCATAAGTTGAGACGTGGTGATAGCGGAACTTGGGAAGTCGTTTCGATTTTCAACTGTGAGATTTTGGTAGATTTCATGAGAAGCACACCTGGATGGTGGTGACTATTAGACTTGATGCAAGGAAGTTGACAGCGATCGGGATGGTGAAGATCACGGAAGCCATGGCGGCCGTAGGGATCCAGCAAAAGCCTGGCACCCTTTGACTGGGAATCGGTGAATCAAGCAGGCAGATTCACCCTGTCAGAATGAGAAACGAAGTCCGAAATCAGCCTTGGAAATGGCTGGTAACTTGGCTGAAATAGCGTCTCTTCCTAGAGATTGTCCCCTGAAGTACAATTGCAAGGAGGCGTAGTGTGTGGTCAGAGTGACAACCCGACTCACGACTCGTGAATCCTAGGGCTGAGAGGCGCCCAGCGGCTTGGCGCGAAAATCGATGTGGGAAGGATCGAGGGAACCTGATTGGCGGATGTTCGTTTTCTTGATGAAAGAGTGCATGGTGGAGGTTCGCAGATTCTGATGAGGTTCAAGTGTAGTGTTGCTTCAAACAAAGAAACAACACTTCTGTGCCTACATCTAGACATAGATTTGACAGACTCAATCCATGCAACCAGTAATCTAATCACCCCCATACCTAGCAAACAAAGAAACATATTTTGTTGTTAATCCCCCGGGCTATAACAAAATAACCAATCATAGGCCATATCTCTAAAAATGGCAAGAAATGTAAAGCCCCTCTGTCTGGACGTTTAGGGTACGGTATTACGGTATCAAAACTCAGCATCATGCAGAGCTATTCTAATGAACCTAGACATCAGCCACAAATCTTCACCAGGGCCATCCTGGTTTCCAGCTGAGTCCTGCCGACAGAGTTGAAGCTTCACCAAGCTTCACCTGCAACCTTCTCCGCCCATATCCTGCTTTATATAAACGTACATACAGAATCTATTGGCTAGTAAATCAGATTTAGGCGAGGCCACAGAGGGAACAGAAGGATAAGGCAAGCTGGAAACAGCATAGGACGAGATGCATAGGAGGAATAAAGCATGCAGAAACAGCATTGATGTACGTTCATCACATGTCTGAATCTAGGTTGGTTCACTGTAACCACGTACATTATATTCAGTGCATTTCGAATAAGTTGCTTCTGCGGGGAGATCAGGCCACACAATGGAGAACACTGGTTAGTAAAAGTGCGAAGTGCTGGAAATTGCGAAGCCTGTTGAGGAGCCATGCGAAAATATGACATGTCCAGGATGTTAGAGGTCCCGCCGCCTTGGCCGATGTCACGCGTGGCAGACGAGCTCAACGAATGTGTGTATCACCTGTCGACGAGGAAAGTGCAAGGAGCAGTAGATCGCGCGGTGGGTGGTGAGTTTTCTGAGTGGACTCAAAAGCATTGGCCGACGTCGCGCGTGACAGACGAACTCGAAGAATCTGCTTATCACCTGTCGACGAGGAAGGTGCAAGGAGCAGTAGATCGTGCCGAGGGTCGTCGTGAGTCACAAGCGGGACTTGCGCAGAATGGCAGTGCCGATCTCTGACGGATGGGGGTCGCCTCGCCGTGTCGTGGTGACAGCTCGCGTTCACGTTTAGTAGTTTGTGGTTGGCTCTCCGTTGGCTGCTGACGCATGCCCTTTAAACAATCAATTTCGTCGAATGTGCAATGTCTCGCTGAAGCCTGATGCTTGGCGTCGTGAAGAAGAAAAAATGGATCACAATGGATCAGCCTATCGTCCCTGTAACACAGCAAGTTATCGCAGATCCCATCAATCCCCTCACCTGCCGCTTACCGTCTTTGTTGCTCTAGATGCAGCACCACATGATTCAGACTCGCGTTTTTGGCGCATTGGGCATCTGAGGCCAGAACGAAACGCGTCTTGTGATATGGCTCTAGTTCAGCCAGAGGCGCTTGTGCGCAGCCCAAGAAGAAAGAGCGAGGGGGCTAATCTCGCGATGCGTTGCAGCATCAAAACAATGGCTGCGAGCCTTCGAAGAGCGAGGAATGGCCTCAGCTCGGCCGCACTGGCTCTACGCGCAGTGGATCACCAGAGCTAGTCTCTGGGAATGAAATACGGCCATGCAGGCTCAAAACGCGAGTCTGGAGATCCCACAAAAGCCATTCCTATAATTAACAGGAGAGCTCGAGAAGATGGCTCGTAGGAAAAAGCAAGCCTTCTAGAGGCGCTTCGAGCGAGGAATGGCCTCAGCTCGTCCACACTGGCTGCACGCGCAGTGGATCATCGGAGCTAATCTCCGGGAATAAAATACGGCCATGCAGGCTCACAACGCGTGACTGGCGAGCCCGCAAAACTGACTAAAACAGCCAGGAGAGCTTGGAAATAAGGCTCGTATGGGAAAAGAAGTAATGAACTGGGACTAGCTGTGGGATGGTAACAGCAGCAGTGCAATTTATACGGGTCCCTCCCCAGTTGCCTTGAACTTGAGCTGCTGTTAGCTGTAACGCTTTCCGCGTTCCGCAGCGCTGTGGTTCTGGCAAGTTCAAGATTCAAGATTCCTCCTCCTCCTTGCTGGAATTCGCAAGAAACGGTCGTCCTAGGCTTGACGGAGGTTTTCGTGCGTCAAACACAGACATCCGTCAAGCGAGCGTGGCGTGCGGGAAGCATTTTCACCTCTCAAACCCAAGACCTGAAACGCGTTCCTCCCAGCCAGTTCAGAGTTTTTACGTTTTCGAGGTATTTTTTTTGCTGACCGCTGATCGGCTTTCTGGGCACATGAAAGTGGAAGCCAAGCAGGGAAGAGTCGTGTGATTGGCTGGTTCAAACACAAACGCGGACAATTATCGCGCAAAATCATCGCGAACATTAGTCCTTGAAAGTCTTGCTGAATGGCCCTCTTCAACTTCAAGCGGTTCGCCCCGAGTTCCGCAAGTCACGCCGTCGGTTTTGTGTGGTTGGCCTAGTTGTGCACTAAGATAACATCTAAAAAGTATCTCAGTACGAGACTTCAATGAACACAATCATTATATTCGAGCAAACACATACTTCATAGTATATGGCTCCTATGTGCTCTATGAGCCTTTCAAACTTAGGTCCGAGCTACCACATAAATTTCCAGCTGGTGGTTCTGATATAAGAATCTTATTATGGCGTTTCGCTTGGGCCTTGAGTGCTTTCGAGAGTCCCTTCAACCGATGCTCCAGTAGAGAGTGAACTTGGCAGTGTGTCTGGTGATGCCGTAGTGCCCACGCCCTTAGTAATGTCACGCTTGCACAGCGGACACGTTGGGTGCGACTTAAGCCACTTGTCAATGCACGCCGCATGGAAGTGGTGCAAACATGGTAACTCTCGTAACACACACCCATCCTCATACCTCACAAGGCACACACAGCACTCCGCATCCTCCGCCTCCACATGCCTCTGCCTTGGCGGATGGGCCGAGCCAACCAATGACATGACGCCACCTGTCTCTTCTTCCACCGTCACACGGACGTCCAGCGCATCGCCACTTGGACTATTTCTGCTGCTGCTGTTATTTCCACCTGCCCTGCCTGCCCGCCTCCAGAGCCCAGCAGCGAGGCCGACCGCATTCCGCCACATAGCACCGGCAAAGGCAGAGGAGGAGCAGCAGGGGCAGGGGGCGGTTCGGGTGGCTGGAGAGGAGGAGAACGAGGTGGAGGAGGAGAGGGGGGGAGACGAGGAGAGGCGGAAGGAAGAGGAGCAGGAGTGGAAGGGACAGATGCTGCTGGTTTGCGAGGAGTTGTGGCTGGCGGCGGAGCGTTGGCGGTAGAACTTAAATTTGGGCAAAGCCTCAATCTGCTCTCGCGAAGCCCCTTCCTGGAATGAGAGCAGTGTGGCACGGGGACAAACGGGTGAGAGGATGTCACAATCACACTTGTCACAATCACACTTGTCACACTCACACTTGTCACAATCTTCCAATTGACGCAGCCGCAGGTGGCCGTGGCCCTAAACCCTGGAATCACTCATCCCTCTCCCACTCATCACATTAGCCACTTTAACCACGATCCTCAACTCATCCCAGTCCCGCTCCTTGTGCTGCCTGCTCACTGTACTAGCCTGGTCTGCGACTGCATAGACGAGGGCGATGAGGCAGGGCAGGCAGCAGCACACACACGGCCATGCCCACTCAGTGCTCACCCCACACTCATGACATCCCTCACTCATGCTAACCCCAGTCACTGTCGTGCCTGCTCATGGTACTCGCCTGGTCTGCGACTGCATAGATGAGGGCGATGATGCAGGGCAGGCAGCAGCACACGGCCATGCCCACCACACACGCCACGGCCACACAGAAGACGACAAAGAACACATCAAACGCCAGGAAGGCCGTGGTGGCCCTGATGTAGGTATGGGGGGATAGAGGGCGGTGGAAAGGGGTGAGGGCAATGCCCACCGCGCATGCCACGGCACAGAACACAATGAAGAACACATCAAACGCCAGGAAGGCCGTGGTCGCCCTGATGTGGTGACAGTAGGGTGTGGGGAAGTGGAGCGGAGTGGAGAGGGGTGAGGGAGACGAAAAGTGAAGAGATCAGGACAGTGGTGGAAGCAGGCAGGCAGCAGCACACGGCGATGCCCACCGCACACGCCACGACCCACGCTGAACACAACACGACAAAGAACACGTTTAACACCAGGATCATTACAGCAAACATCTCACCATGAGAGGATGTGAGCGTCCTTGAAGGAATCATCGATGGGTTTAGCCCACGAGCCACCAGGCAAAGGATGGGCGCGCGGATTAAAGACCATTACACTGAAAACTTAACCAGGAGAGGACAGTGAAGGTCTCACCAGGAGAGGACATAAGAATCTCACCAGGAGAGGACATAAGAATCTCACCAGGAGAGGACATAAGAATCTCACCAGGAGAGGACAAAAGAATCTCACCAGGAGAGGACAAAATAATCTCACCAGGAGAGGATGGGAGCGTCCTTGAAGGAATCGTCGATGGTGGAGAGAATCCACGTGAAGCCGACGAGCCACCAGGCGAAGGAGAACATGGTGTTGGCTGACTCTATGCGCCGTGCCAGGCTGGAATAGGCGAGGGAGGCATGAGGGAGAGAATGGGGGAGAGCATGGGAGCAAGTGAGCTTGAGCCACCAGGCGAAGGAGAACATGGTGTTGGCTGGTTCTATGCGCCGTGCCAGGCTGGAAAAGGTGAGAGGGAGAGGGGGGGGATGAGAGCAGGAGAGAGCATGAGCGCAAGTGAGCTTGAGCCACCAGACGAAGGAAGGAGAACGTGGTGTTGGCCAACACGAGGAAGGAGTCTCTCCGCATGAGGCTGCTCCAACTCTATGCGGAGTCTATGCGCTGTGAGGAGCTGGAAAAGGGAGAGAAAGTAGAGGGGAACACACCACAAAACGGAGAGAGTAAAGGGGAGCACACTACCGTGGTTCCTACACCGTGGGAAGGAACACACTACTTTCACCCGTGTGACATGGAGCCCCACCTCTGACTCCGTGTACAAGGAGCTAAGAACTCTGACTTTCTCACCTCTGATCTGAGTCGTCCGATTCGCTCTCATCCGCACCACCCCCCACCACCATCTCTTCATCATCCACCGTCGATCCTTCCTCGCCCACCATTCTCCTCCTCGCCCTCCTTGCCTGCGCATCCCCCCTCCCATCCTCCCCGCCCGCCCTCTCCTCCCCCAGAAGCCCTTCCAGCGACTCCCCCTCCCGCGCTTCCCTTTCCAATAACGGAGCTCGTCCCGTTATAAGCACCGAAGCTGCTTCGTCTATAGTCACCACTCTACCCGCGTCCCTCCTGCGTAGAACGGAGATAAATTCCTCTTCTCCCTCCGCTTCTCTCTGGCTGCCCGTCCTTTCCACATTTCTTTCCCCATCCCCGATCCCGCTTATCCCCCCGAGTTCTCCTGATTGGTCCACCAACACCACCCCATCCTCCGCTTCACCCCTCTCCCCATTCACTCCCCCATCTCCCCCGTGCGCCCCCCCCCTTCCTCTCTCTACCTCACTTCCTCCCTCCCTCCCCCTGACCCTCCGCCCGTCTCTTACGCGCCGTCCCCCCCTCCCCCTCCCCCGCGCCCGTCTCCTCCCCCTGCGCTGCTCCCGCTGCTCCCTTACGCGCCGGCCCTCCCGCCGCTCGTGCTCCAGCAGGACGCAGATCACGTGGACCGCGCATTGCACGGCGTAACCGAGTAACCAGATGGACAGCGGCGCGGGCGGGCGCTCGTTGCGCGCCTGGCTTATAAAGAGCGTGATGGCCGTGACTACAACGAAGGCGAGGTTCCAAAACGCGTCGAGAATGACCACGGGGCGGGAATACGCCCACGTGCTGGGTTGCGGATCGGGCAGCTGGGGTAAAAAAAAAAAAAAAAAAAGTGAAGTGAACGTGTATAATCGAAGCCGACATGGGGAAACGAACGAAAAAATGCAGAATCCTACACAGTAACTACCACACGGATGGTGCATAAGTAGGTTCGGGCCGGACCTGTTCCGGAGCTGAGGCTCGGCGAGGCGACTGCCGGCGGCGCATGAGCTGCTGCATCCCGACCTGCTGAATCAGCCTCGCGGCGTCCAATGCCATTGCGCCACCTGTCCTCGACCACGGCTGCGCCGCGTCGCTCACCGCGAATTGCGGCGAGGACGGGGACGGAGAGAGCGATTCGGCCGGAGTTGACGAGAATTCGTCGTGAGGAGTTGACGGATCGCTGGATGACGCGCCGAAAGACAGAAGTGCTTCGGTTTCAGAATCAGCGGCGCCGGTGACGGCTGTGGCGGCGAATTCGGCCGCGGCGGATTCGGCAACGGCAACGGCGGCGGCGGCGGCGGCGGTGCCGTTTGAGACGGTGAGACAGCCGTCGCTGCGTCCATAGCTGCTGATGCTGTCGCTGCTGCTGCTCTCGTCGCTGCTTCTCGCTCGACTGCCGCAGTCAAGGCCGCCCTCGTGGCCGTCTTTCCTGTCAGCCATGCTGAATACAACCCACTGTATTAACGGGACGCTCCCTGATTCTTATAACCGGCGAATTTAACAGGGCCTACTAAGATGACGCTAACGACAGGTGTTTCCGAAAGCCTCTCGTGCCACTGCCCACGGCTACCACGGTGCGCCACCGGTATCGCAGCTTAGCTGCTCGCAGCTGCTCACCGCTGTTCTGGGTGATTTTCGGTAGGAGATTCGGAAAGCGTCCCGTGCGACGCGGCGTCCTAAGGCGGTCTGAGAGGAGTCCTGGAATTTCAAAATGCGACGTCTAATCCACCATTTTTTCGAGATTTTTCTGGTTGAACTACTGAAACTGCCGGTTGTGAGTGTTTTTGCATGGGCTGAATCCCATTGCTAGGGCAACTGAATGGTTCAATGACTTCAGTACGGGGCGCATTCACATGGGGCAAAGCTAGGATAAAACAGCGCGTGGAGAGGTTGAATCACACTGATGGAGTGGCACTGAGGAGCGAAGGTAATGAATGGCACATGAAGACTAGGTGCACGGGGCTGCATCGTCCACTCCTGACCACAGAAGACAATACGAGGAACCCACGAGGTTACAAAAGCTTTAGGGAGGGAGGTCAAATCTTCAGCAGCCTAGATCTTGGGATTAGGGAGGACAGGACAGTCGCATCCATTCCGCCATGCGTCAGCACACGGGGAAAGCTGAGGGAATAAGGGAGGGGATGGAGTGGAATGGGGAGGGGATAAGGACGAGGCGGAGGAGACGAGAGGAGGAAAAGGGGCGAATTGCGCGAGAAAATGGAATGCAGTTGGCGTGTGTGGCGGCAGTCTAGGTGCGAGCGAGTGCTGGGCAGGGGGGATTTGCAGGTGACGGGAGTTGGGGGAGCAAGCCGCAGATATGTGCGATACGATAGACGGCCGAGATGTGTAGTAAGAACGTGTGTGAAACGACCTGAGATCATTTTTATTGGTTGCGACAGGATCGTACGCTGACGAATTTCTGAACGAATTGAAGGGGTTGATTGAGTAGGGGTGCGAAACCTAGTGACGACCCGCGAAGGCGGCGTTGCTTGTCGAGGCGCTGTAGCACGTGGCGACAAGAGATTAGCTCATTTGCGCCCTCGCGCCTCGTATGGGGGCTTCATGGCGGCTTGGCAGGATACAAAGGTCCCGTACGCGATAACTCCGAATAGAAGTGACCAATTAGAGCTAAAGTTGTTCTGCATTTCTATAATGTTTCAAAAAAGTAGGTCATTCAGGTATGATGTACAAAATCATCTAGTGGCTTCGTTCAGAGCGACATGGGAGAATGATCGGCCATGAGAATGATCGTTCAGGTATGATGTACAAAATCATCTAGTGGCTTCGTTCTGAAACAAGGACATCAATCCATAGATTGCAATAAGGCAAAGAGATTTATATATATAGCATATTTCATATATTGTAACTGATTGACAGCAGTGCTTGGTGAGCTGGCAAATATTAGTTTACTCTTGCATGTTCTCAGCCGTAGTTGGTGCTGCCAACTAACTTATAATAGTAGTAAATACGGTCTGTGCTGCCAAATTTCCTTAGTGATGTAACAGTAAAAGCACATTTTGTTTCGTTCTTGTATTGTACTGCTTCGCAGCTTCATTCACGGAGTTACCAATGGTAAAATATGATACCTATGTGGTTGCAACACACATTTCCTGTTATGAGTTGTAAAAGAGAGTGCGCAGGTAAACGAATAACGAGACTGTGATTAACTCAACTGAGAATACAATGAAGGCACAGACTAATGTAGGGGCTAGCCTAGCTAGGAGGAAACTTCGGACGAGCGAGGTTGGGGTGCAGGCTTGGCGATGGGAAATGCCGAAGGCGACGCGAGGAGCCTCGGCAGCGTTGAAATCGTCCGAACGTGCGAAGTCTGAAAATCGGGCTGTACGCGTAGCAATCAACCCGATAAGGAATTAAGCAAAATTCCCTACACTAACCCCCCCCTTAAGAAAGGCGGTCAATGTCCGAAACACACCTGCGCGCCAAATAATCACCAACAAGTGGCGAGGCGTCGAGCGAGGCGGATGGCACCCACGTGTCGTCCTCACTGGTGCGGTCAGTCCAGCGGATTAAGAAATCCACGTGTCAGCCAGCTGCGTCAAGTCGGACCCGATGAGCTAGAATTTTTGAAGGGTCAAGGGTCGGCTCCGGAACAGGTCGTGCTGTCGGGGCAGCTTGCTGACGTGCGATGTCGGTCGTGGCTGGCACGAACTTGCGAAGAAGGCTGACGTGGAAGGCGTCATGAATTTGCCATTCGTCGGGTAGCAACAGCTTCGCGGTGACAGGTGTCACCATCTTGATAATCTTGAATGGTCCACAAAATCGTGGCCGTAGTTTCGACGGGCCGGGCAGGTGCAGGTTCTTCGTGTCAAGGAGCACTAATTGCCCAGTGGTCAAGACGAGTTCCCGGCGTAGAAGGTCGGTGTATTTCCGGGAAGTGATATTCGCCTTGCGAATTGCGTCTGCGGCTTTTTCTCGGACTTCCTGGAGTTCCGTCACAAAAGTCTGTGACCTCGGGACCGGGTGTCAGAATCCCAACCACTAGACCATTGGGATAAAAGGGCTTGTTAAGTAGCGGGTCAGTGCGCCCATAACCCCCCAGGACAACGAGCCTGTAACCCTTCCCTAGGATCAATCGGGGATCACCAGTGGACCTCTGACACCCCCCCGCACTGGGATGCCCGAAGTGCACACAATGGGATTCGAACCCGAGACCTTCGCTCTGATACCATGTCAGAATCCCAACCACTAGACCATTGGGATAAAAGGGCTTGTTAAGTAGCGGGTCAGTGCGCCCATAACCCCCCAGGACAACGAGCCTGTAACCCTTCCCTAGGATCAATCGGGGATCACCAGTGGACCTCTGACACCGGGTTGTCGAGTGTAGTTGCCGTAGGAACTGTTGGGTCCATCCCGTAATTCAGGAAGAACGGCGAGTGATTTGTCGTGCTGGACGGCGCGTTGTTGAAAGCGAATTCCAACATTGCGAGGGATTCTTCCCAGCGGGCAGGGTCGGGGCAGTTTGTCCTGATCAGCTGCTCCATGGTTTGATTGGTCCGCTCGGTTTGACCGTCCGTCCGTGGATGATATGCCGATGAGAACTGTAGCTTCGTGCCGTACTGCGCCCACGTCTCTTTCCAGAACTTTGATGTGAACTTCGGGTCTCGGTCGCTGATGATCGCCGAAGGGATGCCGTGCAGTCGCACGACCGTTGAGATGAAGAGGCGCGCAGTTTCTTCGGCTGTGATTGTCGTTCGGCATGGTGCGAAGTGCGCCATTTTCGTGAAGCGATCGACGACGACGAGCACTGCGTCGTTGCCGGACGGTCCAGCTGGCATCCCCGTGACAAAATCCATTGTCACCTGTTGCCACGGTCGTTCGGGTGGCTCAAGGGGTTGCAGCAGCCCAGCTGGTCGTTGACGTGTCGATTTCATGGCTTGGCACACCCTGCATGAGGACACATATCGCTGCACGTCGTTAGAGGAGTCAGGCCAGTAATATTGACGGTGCAGTATTTTTTGGGTTTTATCAACCCCAAAGTGTCCGGAGAAGTTTGAATCGTGGACCTCTTGGATGAGGAGTTCACGCAGCAGCCGGTAAGCGGGAACCCAAATCCGGTCGGTTCCGGCTTTTAGGTAATAGTCCCCTTTCTGCGTTGTGGCCTGCTGATGATTCCCAGTCGTGAAGAACGGGTCCGTAGTGTAGCCATGGGTAAATAGTCCAGTCAGTAATGGGTTCGAATGGGTGATGAGTACTGCAGCGGATTGTACTGTCGGTCGGGTCAGGGCGTCGGCGATGTTATTCGCCCCTTTCTTGTACGTGATGCGGTAGGTGAAGTGGCTTTCCATGTAATCCAGCCACCGGATCTGTCGTGGGTTGAGGTTGGGTTGGGCTCGCAGGTACTGTAGGGACTTATGGTCTGTGCGAACAGTGACGTCGGCGCCCACCAGGTAGCATCGCCACAATTTAAACGCGTGTATGATGGCGAGCATCTCCTTGTCGTGAATCGGGTAGTTGCGTTCGGCTGCCTGTAGCTTGCGTGATTCGTAGGCAATCGGCTGCAGCCCATTCCCGAAGTCTTGGAGAAGCACAGCTCCGATGGCGAAATCTGAGGCGTCGGTTACGACTTCGAACGGCTTCGATGGGTCGGCGATGCGCAGCACGGGAGGGGAAACCAGAAAATTCTTGAGTTC